GTCTTCATATTATTGTTTTGAATTTAGCCTACTGTACATTGACAATTACGTATGGGTGGATTCGGCGTTCCGTTGCCCTAAGATAAATTAATTAATAGGAATTTTTATTAATTAACTCACTTAGTATGTGTCTAAAGGTTATAAAAAAAACCAGGCTTTGTGGTTTTCGACTATTAAACCTATGTCGTTTGTATGTGTAATAACATCGTTTACGTTTGTAATGTATTTATCATGCGTAACATTTGCTCATGGCGTGGAAGGTTTGGATGCAAGGTTGCGTTCTGACCACCAAGGCGTCTTGTTGAAGGTTTTGTCGTTCTTTTGACTAACTTTTTGTCCCAAATCCTCCAACAGTCGCCTCCAATACTTCACGCGTTCGCTCTCAATAATCGGTTTCTGCTCTTGGTGACCACAATGGGATTACATACACGTACATGTAGATACGTCGTAGAATGTATGTCAAATTTGAACACAATCTCCTGGTATAACTCTTGACAGTAATCAAATAATTCATGTGTGTACAGTTTCAAAAATACGGAATGCTAAAAATAAAATTGCGTTGAGTAGACTGATCTAGAATGTATTGAAAATAAAATTAAGACTTACACAAAAACCGTAGCAAAGTCATAATATCAGTGACCAAGACTCATGTTTGCTCGCAAACAAAAATTTACCTCCGCCCCAAATTTATCACGGATTACATACTATGTTCTTAGTGGATTCAGGGATGGAATTCCATACTTCAATTAATATTCGCAAGTATTTTCACAAGATAGCCGTGTAGTGACATCCATTGTTGACATCCTTCTGACATGTTATCCGCTCGACAAAGTACTAAATACCCAATTCTTTCATACAACCCACCACAATTATTCCAAATATTGGAATATAAAAATTAATCCCTTTTTTTCGTTCCTTCTGACGAACTTTTTGTGAAAATTACTCACCTACATCGTGAATTTTTACAATACCCTCTGGTAATAATTGTTGGAAGATGAATATCCATTGTGAGAAGACGTTAATGAGTTTTGCGTGACCCTGAACTTGTGTCAAAACTCATAACAAAGAAGCTTTCTGCTGAGTCGCAGGCCTAGATCTGATTGGAGATCTCATTGTAAACCCGCCCATGTAGAACACCTTCACGTTTTCATCGTTTGAGGATCTTTTACGAAATATTAGGATTTAGTTAATGGTCAGAATGGAAATTGTTCCTTCCGTCATTTTTCCCTACGGTACGATTTTTATTGAATTTATTTTTAGGATGAACTGTTAGAATGTGTGAATTATATATAAAAACTCCATTGGACTAAAGTTCCTTTCCTATCTTCATTTCCTCAGTTATTGCATTTTAAGGTCAATGTACTGTTGACTATATACTGTACACTACCTGAAGCAAATGTCGCATTTCTATGTCAAAGTTGTAGTATGTTTAAAGAGCTAAGATTTAGCCACATGCAGAGGATGATGTAAAGTAACGCCTTATAACCAACCATTAATTCACCCATAACAGAAAAGGTAACTTATTGTACACTATCGAATCTTACACTATAGCATGATAAACTAAAAGAGAAAATTGACTCCTTAATAACACTAATAATTACTCCATAGGAATCATTCTAATGTGATATATGTCAGTACAACCATTTGGCTTTGGAAAGGTACTACAACTTCTTACTACATCGAGTCTAAATTTATAGGATGCCAACTTTAAAATTCAAACTCAATGGAAAAACGTATTTGCAATTATGGACATTCAACTGCGGAAATAATAACACCTCAAATAACCAAATCATACACAAGAAAATATAATTAAAATCGGTAGAATAGTAGCTTCCTTGGAATACAATTATTCAACGAAAAACTAACTAATAAGCAACTGTCCAGGGGTGTAATTATGTAGGTGTACCTTTGTTGACAAAATGAAAAATATCTTTGAAATTATTAACTAACCAGAATGAAAACCCGAGTTTTACATCCCTTCAAAACAATAGCTGTAAAATTAACTACTGTATGGATTTTGTAAAATATTGTCTTTATTCGACAATAAAATATTATAACGTAAAATTTTGTGTGTCGTAATTTAAGAACAACTTTTTGTTATTTCTTAAAACGCTTTATCAGTCGATATTTTAGAAATTTATTTATTATTTGGAATAGAAAAATACATTTTTTTCATTAAAAAGATGAACGTAAAGACTCCTCTAAAGATCGGATTAGTTCGTACAATTTTCTTTTACCAGGGCTCCCTGGAAGATTGGTCCTAGGCATAAATAGCAGCTACTACACCCAAAGCTATTACTTGTAGTGTGAACGCCATTGGCATTTTCAAATGAAGAGATGACAAATATAGATCTGTGGAGAAACTTTCCAAACTTATAAAATATTTACGGGTACGATGGGAATCGAATCGTCGCTCTCACACCTTTAATAACCGAAGTCCAAAACGCTAACGACTAGTCAAGACACACACAATTGTCTTCAGTCCCATAGTTATCTATGCCGTAGATGATGTCTATGCTCGTGCTATGCTCGTAGACATTGTCACGCTGATGGATACAAGTTGGCAAGCTACAACATTGTTGTGGACATTCCCATCACGTACATAAGTAGTGCATGCGTGAAAGTTGTAGGCCTACCGTCTTCCTCTTCGCTAAAAGACAATTCACAGGGCGTACAATTTCTGCTGATATATTAACTCAAGTTCGAAATTGGTATTGTGACTAAAACACGCATTATAGCTGTTAGTTCAAACATTTAGGAGCCATTATAGTTTTGAATATAGCCATATCAATACTTTTAGAACTATAAGCATCTTAGGCATCTTTAAAGAGGATGTTGTTCTTTGTTTAACTTCATGATCCCTCATAGAAATACTTCCCGGCAAAATCTACACAATCGAAATCCAAAATCGTAACGATCTAACTACTTGCAGGAATTCTATTAAAAACTTCACTTAGCTTGAAGAGCTATCTAGTTATTTAACAGACCTAATTACTTGTTCGGATGACAATGGTTGTTACGTACCTTGGTCAGCCTCGCGTCAATAGGCAGGCCTTGCCGTGATCATGCAGCCTAGAACTCACATCGATTATTCGCTTCATCGGTATGTGAGGTCGGACTCAGTTGTGTCGATAATTGCTAGAATAGACTGATTTACCAATTACTTAGTACAATTTGTCCATTTATGTAACACTTACGATGCAATGTGTTTGAGAAGTTTGGATTTTGGTGAATAAACACGTCGACTAAATGATTATCTACAAGTGTTGAATAGATTTAACGATTCGCTCTTACTCTTATTCGTTATAATACCAAAGGTACAAGCTATTGAGCAATTGTTTAAAGTTAGACTATTCTACTTGTTTAAAATGTGCTTAAGATTGGCTTAATGACAGAAAATAGGCTAATACTGATCGTAGCAACACATAAAATGTCCTCCCCATACGCCGGACGAAATAACTTTCAAATTTGTCTTTAACTGGTCTATACAGATAATAAACTTTAAAGCCCATTGATTAACAAGTACTTATTATTTGTATAATGATACTGACTTCTTATTAACTCGCTCTAGTTATTGGTCAAATAGGAATACCGCTAATGATTGTAGATCGAAATATTTAGCTATGATACGGTCGATAGTGAATAGTTGGATTTTTAGCTAGGAATGACTGACCGATAATATAAATTATACAGTAAGTAGTTTTTAGGGTATAAATATTGCTTCAGACATATTTAGGGTATATCTAAAACCTTTGGAAATTACTTCTCTGAGCTTATACTGAAAACCATTTGAGAAGAACTTTGTTGATAAAAATTTATTTCAGTTTTTCAAAAGGTTTAGGGTGTATAGAACACAAGCTTTGATTTAAAACGCATTGCGTACACAATACACTATTTACTTAATTACCATAATTCGAATCCTTGGTTAAAATATCACAAGGTTTTAAACTTACAATTTCAAAGTGGTCAAAATATGTGCAGTATGGCAAACAAATTAAGTGGTAGGTCCCTTTGAACAACTCTAATCGTGAAGTTTTGTAGTTTTATTATTACAGTACATCGTCTTATAAGATGGTTATTCATGTTATCTATCATCAGAGAATGAAAAAACCTTCTAACACAACTCACTTTCAATGTAAAACTACAGATTAATAATCCCTTAATTATTTTTCGTCATTATGGATCAACTGAAGACCTGTTTAACGTGTTTTTGTCCGGTTAAGCTCAATTATTGCGTTCATGTTTTCCCTTGATTTACGTAAGTTATACTTAAAATCACATCTGCTTCTTGAATTGCAAATACGTATTTCAAATGAAAATTATAAACTGACCACACCAACTGACGCCAGCAGGATTTGTAAATTATGTAGTTAGAACCTAAGATGACTAGTATCCATGGAAAGTTAAATTTCCATCGCGAAACCCTAAAAGCAACGTAACTGTATGGGTACCTAAGTTATAGTTCGCAGCTTCAATATTATATATGTTTATTCTAGACCTAGATGAAATTTGTCATTGAGCGATCATTTATTTAATTATCCATTCTTACAAAAGGTCGACGTTAGATGGTGACAAGATCAGTATTTATACCGTTCCTTTAAGAAACTTTGAAAATTCCAATTGTGTTACGTCACCAAACAATAAACAAATACTAGAGATTACTTTTTAACGCTTTCAAAACACTAAGCAATTGTAGATACTGTACAAACATCGTGTGGATATACACAGTAAAAAGTTGAATCATCAAAGTGCTCTACGATAAACCCAATTTAGGTTTTATATCTATAACAATTTGCATAGTTTCTGCTAACCTTTGTTTTAAAAATATACCATATATCGACATGTATCCTTTTGAATATCCTAAACGCGTAACATTGGATTGAAGTACACCATGAGGTATTTATCGATGGTGAACCTATTATTTTAGATTTTGTTTACTATCACTTCAGTCCTGCCAACCTTTGTATCACCGCCAGGACTCCAGGAGTCCAGGACCTCCCCTCCACCGATCCTTGTTTGGTATCCTGCGTGAGTCTTTCATTCCCCACCGAACTACCGAGAGTTCCACCCTAGGTAAGCACCCAGCGCTTGTCTATATCATGTTTACTTTTAGTTCTTAACTTTGAAACACCAATATGTGGTTAGCGTAGAAACTTTGACTAACTAGAACATAGATTACTGTAACGTATTTGATGGGTGATAGATTATTCAGAATATGTTAATAGTCGAGTTAGTAACAGGCGTTTGGAGTTAAGATCGTTTAGAGTTGTACTTGCCTCAGTTTTACTATGCATGCGTAGTGTATTATGTGTCTTAGGGAACTTATAGGCTTGAACGCGGATCTGAAGGGCGATTGTTGGGAATTTTCAATCATACAAACAGAGTTTAAAAAACTTTAAATGGTTTCTACTTTCAGCGAATGTGTTATGAAATTAATTACGTATTTATGGGGACGTAAAATGGATTGCTTGTAGATGATTTCAAAATTATTTTACGCATCATTTTGTATTTCTAAAAGTGCTAAGCTAAAATCTAAGAGTAGTAGCCTATGTTCGAGTGACCCTTCATGTTGTTGAGGGATAAGAATATTCGTCAAATTAAATACAACCTGTTTGCATAGTGCAACCTACAAAGTGAGCGCAGTATAGTAAACCCGAAGAGACATACTTCTTAGACATTAATATTTCTTCTTGGAAAATTTACTGAAATGCTTAATCTTAATCCAAACGTTGAAATTTTCTAATTTTGGCTCTTCAACACAAAATTCAGACATTTATTGTTCGACAAGATTTGATGGTTAGTTCTTCACTAAATAAACCCACTTGTCAATTTTAATGCTTTTGATTTTCCTACATTTTTATATGAATTGGCTGCATCATGCTTTGTGTTTCGACGACGAAATCTGAAATAAAATATTGCATTATTGTGTGTGTAGCTTAAGCAGATGTACTTATTTAAACATTTAGGTTGTATAATTACGGAAAGAACGGTTCAGATGCAGTAGTTTAGGCATTTTAATGGTTCTCAATAGTTATTCTATCTTGGTATATTATTTGCGTCGCAATAGTGATAAACTGAGTTGTAGCATATTTCTAATACAAATAATGTTCTCTTACTTATCATAAGGTTAGGTACTAGTAATGAATCACCGTAACAATAGTCTTAACAATCATCAGAACAAACATGTACAAAAACCGGATCGTTATATTGTTATACATAGACCTATATATTCTCATTGGTACTGTAATCCGTAAAAGTTCGTTAAATATCAAAATACAAATAAAGTATCTTAGTATCCTCTTTTGAAACCGTCGTAACCCATTCCTAGAACAGATCGTAAACCAGTGTGTTAAGTATTTGTATGCGAGATGATGTAAAGATGTAAACGTTTACACTTAACTATCAGCAGATAACTGTCGGCTTATTTCAGCATTACGACAATGACACACACCTTAAAATATAAGTGAATGGCTGGAGGTAGTTTAGAGTGAAGCCACACTCCTTGGAAGGGGATTGTAACTTTGATTAATGTGAATAAAACATAATGTAGTTATTTGAGAAACAGTAGACAATGTTTTTAAAATTACAAAAAGTGCACTATATTTATATCTAGCCGTGTTATAAATAAAGGTGTTATAACAAATATTATAACTAAAGGTCCCATTTTATTTAGTGTTAAACCACGTCAAACCCAAATAACATGCATTTGATATAGGCAAACTAGGTTTGTTGTTATTTACACAAAAAAGAAAAGGGATACGAAGTAAGTGTTAACTAAAAAGTTGTTAGGAATTAAAAAAACCTATAAAATGATGTGCCACTTGACATTGTTGCTATTGGAAAATTTTGAACAATGAGCATTTGCAAATTTTCAAAAATATTTTTTTTTTTTAATTTTAATTATTTCAAAAAACTGTTACTTGTTGCATATCACAGTAAAGCTAATTTCATAACGAGTAAGAAAATTCAACCGGAGAAGGGCTAAATGCATTGGTATAGGAAACACAGAGTATTTTAAAAATATAGATTTTTTTCTAAAAAAAACTGCTACTGTTTTGAAACGGAAAAAGATAATTAATTTCTATTTTCATCAAAATGTTTGTCTATTAAATACTTTTAAAATGATAATATATAACATGACATATGTTTACATTTGAAAATTCCGAGATTCGAACTAGTGAACCTCAGTTTTTGGCACATTCTGTATTGGAAAAAAGTATTTTAAGCCACATTACATAATTTTGACGAACTTCCCACACAAGGATTTAGTCCAGAAACAGCTGTTTGCCTCCAGCTAATTGAAATGGGGTTTCATTGCGTAATACTGTTCTGCAATGAGTTTTACCGGACACCAATCAGCTGATTATACTGTATTTTCGTGGCAATTAGTGGTTATAAACAAAAACATAACCTCTCTTAGAGGTTATGACTAGTGATTTTTAGTCCTTTAGTTGATGGTAATATATAAGGATTTGAACGGATTTAGTAGTATGGCGTAAACTATCGTACGTAACTCGTCGAAAATGTGTGTACCGGACTCGTATGGTAATCCCGTACTCGACTTCGTCTCGCACGGGAACGACCACACTCGTCCGGTAAACACTTATTTTCAGGACTAGTAACGTAATATACTATTACCGGACACCAATCAGCTGATTATACTGTATTTAGGTGGCAATCAATGGTTATTAACAAAACTATGGCGTACACTATCGTACTAACTCGTCCAAAATGTGTGTACAGGACTCGTATGGTAATCCCGTCGACCACACTCGTCCGGTAAACACTTATTTTGAGGACTAGTAACGTAATATACTATTATGTTATTCCTTGGGGTCGATTTAGCGGGAAATAATTGCATTTAATACGTTAAGCCGTTTTTCGTAATCAATTTGAGACACCTCTCTTGAGACACCCTGTATATATCACATTCCTATACTCTTATATGAGCAATGTTTGTTTATATGTATGCTTGCACAAAGATCTCGAAAACGGCTTCGATGATTTCCGTCAAATGTTGTAAATAATTTATATCTGACCTAAAAACGTGTTTACTGCAGTTAAAACTGCCATCAAAAATCTAATTACATAAAAGAATTAAATTGGAAGTCAACATTGGCCTTATGGGTTGCCAAGTAACTATGTTGGTTGACAAAAATAACAAGGAAAAAGTCAACAAAAGACTTGACACATATGTTTATAACATCCCATCCACAGTCTACTAGCAAATTACAAAGTACAGTACAAAGGGATAAACATCAGTTGTTACTATTGAGCAAAGATTACACGGAAGATTACTTGATAGGGGTACAATGGAAATAAACCAGGTGTCCCCAGGTATTGTAAAATAAAGGAACATCAAACACCCTTTCAAGGAAATAAACAAACATCTATTAATCACATGAACCAGCTATTGTTCATTTAATTCAATAATGTACAGGAAGTATTTGTAGTATTTATATTATTGTAAAATGGTTATACCATGAATGAATAAACAAATAAATAAATAAAGTAACTTCTAAAGAATGTGACGTAGCCCGGCCTGTGGAGAGCACTTTGATAATTTTTCATACCGATAATTTTTGGAAAATCTACACAGCTGAGCCTTATTTCTGAGCTTTATTTTAATGTACCATATGCCTATTGTTTAATGGCTCTAAACGATGACCTGACTGTATCGCTCAACTAATATGATAATTTTTTTGTCACGCAAATAAAGAAAAGAGACAACGCAACAGAAACATACTCTTTCCTTCTCTAATTGAGATTCCTAATAAAACTTTTAGTTCAAAAAACGTCAAGCAAGTTGGTGCATTTTTTCTCGCGCAGCTTGCAAGTGCCTGCAGGTTGGTGGATACAAGCAGAACACATATCTGTGTGTGCTCGCGGGGCTTGGGGCACACAATGCTTCATGTTCAGCAATGTAAACAACTAATAATTAGTTGGTAATGCATTCATTCTGAGACCGAATTAAATACTCCCGCCCTTCGGATTGGTTATGGATATATCATTACAGACTATTTTTTCCTTAAATAAAAATGTTTTATTAATAAGTTATATTTAATGTTACCTTATACTGTTGTAAGTTTTTGTGTGTATCACTTTACTGTTTTTACACTTTCACTTGGCTGTAAAACTGTAATATCCAAACCTGGGAATGATTGATTGAATCATACAAAATTAAATCACCAATAATTATAAAATTTTTTTATTGTAAAATGTGTTGAATTTATAAATATTAGTTAGTGTTTATTACTTTAAATGATGAAATTTATATAATAATTCTATAATTTCTATAATATGAAGTAGTTTCTTTACTTTACTTGCTGGTAGGCCTGCTGTTTTCATGTGATGGGCTATACCCCCCCCCCCCCCCCCTCCCCCAGGATAATTGCACCTTGTGGGGGAATTTTTCTCTTACTTGCTCCCCTGCAAGGACAAGATGTAAAACCTCTTACGCCCCTGGGCTGAGCCCATTTATGAAAGTGGGCTATTCCAGCAGAAATGGTGAATTGGAGCCCTTGGTCCTCTTCAAACCCGGTGAACTCTTCCTCTTCCTCCTTGTATGAAGGAAGTAGAGTTGTCGACTTAGGCTATTTAGGAACCCAGTTCAAACATCAAACCCAGTTCAACCAAACATTATGAAGATTTCAAATTTGTTATGTTTTTGGAGAATAGAGTGTACTACTTCTAAGTTACTGTATATGAAATATTTTGGCCCAGAATGGCAGACACCAGCCTCCCATTGCCCAGTGCTCATGTAGAACATCACTTTGTATGGCTGGACTACAGTGTGTTCGGAGGTATGTTACTGGTGTCCACTGGCATCGGTCTGTACCATGGGTGTCGTCTGCTCAGGCCAGGGGACGGAGAAGCCCGAGACTCCCCAGGAGAGTTCCTGATAGCCAACGGGAAGCTGGGCACGGTTCCTGTAGCCCTGTCCATGTTGGCTAGGTGAGTTTAGTAGTAAGTAAATTCTGAACAATATAATTGTCCTAGGTAATACTTGGCTTAATGCCTACTTTGTATGGTCACCATTTCAATGAAAAGTATTAAAGTATTACAGTGTAATCTTATTTAAAGGTTTGCAGACAAATGTAAACATTTTTAAACACAAGTAAAAGAACAATGTATCTACAACGTTTAGGAATTTGAAATTGGATCGTGACCTCAGGCAAGAAAGTACCTAAAACATGACAAGATTAGTAGACAAACTCAGCTAAAGCTGGAAAATCTCATAATAAATCCACACAGACACATTTAGTACACAAAGCAAGAAAAGACACCCTGGAAGAAAATAGTAATAAGAAAAATAAGGATAGGTGAACATTACAGACACGTTTGAACAAGGTGGTGACTCAAGCGAGAATTTCAAACAAATAATCAGTTATCCTATTATTAGAGAAGTAAAGAAACTTCTTCTAATTACTATTAACATAGAAAATGGTGCAATTAACCTTCCATACAAGTAGTGAAGACTACGCAAACACTTTTGCACTGAGGTGGGTAGATTTTACTTCTGTTGGAGGTTGAAATGTGATGGCAAATGACATGTCATGTAGATGTGGTAAGAAGTGACATACTCTTCAATGAACTGACATTACCATAAGCTATTATTGCGTTTTGATGACCCTTCTGGTAGATTTCTCAGTTAACATATCATAAGTGAAACTGGACTTAAGTAGCTTGGCATATTATAGATGTAGTTTTTAGGAAGGAAGACCTGCACAAAGTAAATATAACCAATGGCAACTGAATAAGTATGAACATTCACCTTTTATTTACTGACAATTTTCAAATGTTATCATCAAGACATTACACACATCGCTCCACTCTTCACATTTCACTTCACAATCACACATTACAACATCACTCCAAATGTCTATACAATCACAGTCACAGAGTAAAAGCTCATGTATTTTGGAAAGTATTTCATACATTTATATCCTAACAAAATGAAGACTCTTTGAAGTTTTAAGCCTTAGACATGACCAAAATTGATCTGCTTTGACTGTAATACTTTTCGAATTTGACAGCCGCAATATTTCCAGCTTTTTATCTTCTATTACCCTGATGGGACAACCCGCCGAGGTCTACCTTTACGGATCACAAATGTGGATCTTTGGCCTCGCTACGTTCTTCCTTGTGCCTTTTGTCGGATACGTAATGATTCCGTTTTTCCGAAAATCCAAACACACATCTGCTTATCAGGTACGTTTAAGTGTATACCGTAAACAAATAACGAGTACGTATTTCAATGTCCTAGTGGGCATTATTATACAGTAGAGTCCCGCAAACTCGGCGTAATGTGGACTGGAAGGGTGCCGAGTTTGTGAAATGCCAGGTTATCGAGAACTAGAGTTAAAAATAAGAACAATACAATTTTTGAGCTTTTTAACCGCTTTTTTAAATTAGATTTATATTACAAGTCAGTATTAAGTCATCAAATATAGTACAACAAATCCTTAGTACGAGTTGCAAATGATTATACTTGAGCTGGCTTTGTGTCCATGTTTAACTCGGACTCAAAAAATCACTAATTATCTGACCAGGTGATTGCCGAGTTATCCAGACTGCCGGGTTATCGAGTCCGAGTTTGCGGGACTCTACTGTATTGTTATATCTATACAAAAAGGACTTTCCTTAGTTGTGATAGGAAATGGTTCAATTTAGAAGCCTTAAAACATCAAAATTTAAAAATACCATACATTTTAAAAATAACTCATACCATAGATTAAAACAAATACCAGAGGCTTTACTATACTCTAAGATTGAAATTCATTTAACTCATCTGTTTTTCACTCTAATTCTGATGTGAGATTGTTTAACATGTTGTGTAGGTAACCTTTCAGTTAAAACTTTTCAGATAACAACAATGCAGTAACCATGCATCAACAATAGATACAGCTGTATAAATGTTTGCAGGTGGGCTAGGCTACAGTACAGAGTATACAGCAAAAATCCATTTGTTTACTACAATGCTAAAGGAAACATTGTAATATTTGTTATTTATTTTAATTATAAAATTGATGTAAATTTTTAAGTGTAATGTTTGTTTTGCTTTTAAACAGTATTTTGGGCATCGGTTCAACAGATGGTTACAGCTCCTAGCTAGTTTCCTCTTCAGCATTCAAATGGTAAGTTTTTAAAAAAGCTTGTCGCAGATTCATTTTGTTCAGATTTGTACAATAAGCAAGAATTCAATATTACTGCTGATCAAGTTGTCTGTTGATAAAAGTTAGCCTCGAAATGGTACCAGAATGCTGAAATATGTATAACCTACTTTATAGCTTTGATTGGTAATTTATCATAGAATTAATTTCTTGTGCAAGTTTGTGTTTTATTAAAGTGCTTGGTAACAGCACTGAGAAATTAGGTATATTACTGGTAAATGAAATAAATAATTGTACTCCTTATATTTGAACAATATAATAGTAATGATGTTTTACAGGTATTGTACCTGGCTTTGGTGCTTTATGCTCCAGCTCTTGCCATGCATCAAGGTAAAGTAACAATCTTATATCAATGAATTTATATTCTAAATTTAAAAGTTTGAAAAACAAATCATATACAAAACAGTCGTGAGAGAATCTGCCAAATGCTTTTAGCTTATGTCATCATATTTATAGCACTGTGGTTGATAATAACTGTTGTGTTTATCCATCATGGAATCTTTAATTTCCTCGCCTTTTTTCTTTACTTTTGATGAAGGTGAAAATGTTGATAAACTAGGTCCTATTCAGTGAAGTATACAAGTATCACCAAAAGAAGACATGCAAGAGAAATTATGATATGGAATAATTTCATAGGAAGCTAAGTCCTTAAGAGTAACTCATTATAACTTTCAAATATGTTAAATTGTTCTAGGCTAGGTGTAGAGTTTTGAATATAATATCAGAATAAACTACTGATAAAAGTAATGAATGGACTGGCTGGACATTGGTATTTCCAATGCATTCCATTATTGTTGGTTTTATCTATATTCGTTTTCCTTATCTGCCAGACAGTATTGTTCTTGTTTTATGCTTTCACTTTTTGCTCTGTCTCAGTCTACACACTACTGCCTTCTAGTTAACATGTCCTCAAATATATTGTAGTTATAGATTCAAAATGTAGTCTAAATTCTCTCTTTTAATTATAACCAATGTTAGAACATAATAGTACAGTTCAGTGTATCAGTGACAGTGATGTGAAGTGAATGAAGTAAATCTTCAGTAATATTTGGATGAAACCTCTACAAGTGAATGGACTGGTAATTCTCTCCTGTCGTCAACCTTCACGCCACTCTTAAGCTCAAGTCATCCCTCTCCTCTACGGGCATCACTGGACCACTAGCAGAGTCTCTCTACGTCAAACCTCTACTCTCCTAGCTACTCCTTTGAGGCCAACCCTCTGCAACCTTCCCAGACGACATCGCCAGCTCCAACCCTCTTACAACCGCTTCGCTACCCACGTCACGACCTCACTTGAAACTCACCACAACCTGGACTTCTCTAGAAAGACTCCGCAAGTAGAAAATAATTTTTAACTTAATTTATTTAGCAATTATTCAAAATACTCTTACAATATCTCTATCAGATTTTTAGGATTTAAAAGTTTTAACCTTCCGGAAGATTTCATTTAATATTCTAATCTAATATAACAGTTCTTGTCATAATTCAATATATCCAATTTTAAAACCTGTTACTGTATTAAAAAGTGTGTGAACTGAGAAGCAGAGTTTTTATTTCATGCTCTCCGATTGCCTTGGGGTAAAATTAAATTAATACATTTTGAGAATAGAATTTTTAAGGTTTAAAATTCTCTACGACTCAACAAATTAATGGTCCTTCGAGCCGGATGGATTACAGTAACTTTAAAGTTGGTAATTTCTTTTGTTTTGCAAAAGGAGAGCATAAATAAGTTTAAATTCTTTTGTAGTTTGTTTTAACTTTTTTAAGTTGCTTTATTTTTCTCTAGGGTTTCCTATACCTACCTATACCTCCTTGGTCATATAAACTTAATCTGCAAACATGACTCCCCGACCTACTGTCCAGTTAGAAACACTTGTTAAAAGGAGAGAAAAATATTTTGCTAGACTACAAGCTCTATATGATGTTGGCAAAAAATGTATACAGTTAGCTCAACAAAAACAAAGCTATACTGCTGAGTTAGACTCTTTTGTTTCTCGCTTCCAGCGAATCGAAGATGATTATGAGGCTTTTGAGCAAATATCTGACGAAATAAATGTTGTAAACACTCAGGTAGAAGAGGGTGAAAAAATTGATGTTAATAAAGCTTCATTGGCATATGATGAGATTTATTTCAATGTGAAGACAATTGCTCGTAAGATGAATGTAGGGAATTTAAATACACAAAGTAAACCGGAAACTACTCAATCATCTGTCCCAACACAATCTTCTCAAGTAGCAAGACTACCAAAACTGGAAATTGAACCATTTGATGGATCAATTACAGCTTGGCCAAACTTTTATGCCCTCTACACCTCTATGATCCATAAGAACACTTGCCTAACCAAGGTAGAAAAACTTACATATTTACGTAGTTTACTAAAATCTCACGCACTCTCTCTCATTGACACTCTGGCCATATCAGATGACAATTATGACATTGCAATGCAAATTCTAATTGAACGATACCAGAATAAAAGATTATTAGCTTCTTGTTATCTTGACAAAATATTATCTTTTCGCCAAATGACAGAGGATTCAACTAACTCTTTCTCAAACTTCATGGAAGTATTCAATAGTAATTTGTCAGCTGTGAAGGTTCTTGGCATTGACGATTTATTTGATTTCACTATGCTCCACATTGGTTTACGCTCTTTGACACCAAACACTCGTAAGGATTTTGAAAGTCATCATTCAAGTAATGATATCCCAAAGTTTGAAGACCTAATCAAATTTGTCCAACAACAGCTCAAAATTCTAGAAATCACTAATGATCCCAAGGGAAAATCAAAACCTCACAAACCTACCCAGTTCTCTAAGCCATCAAGCTCTCGCAGTGCAATGCTCTCTACTGTGAATACAATTCACTACGATAAAGGGAAGAATGCTTCATTAACGTGCCCGTGCTGTCAGGACATCTCTCACAAGATTTATGGTTGTTCAAAATTTAAAGGCATGAGTGTAGCGCAACGATATGATCAAGCTAAAAAGAGTGCCTTATGTTTTTCTTGCCTCGGATCTCACATGATATCTGATTGTAAATCTAAGTCTAAGTGTTTCAAATGCTCTGGTAAACACCACACTCTCCTACATCGTTCAGATAACAGTCAAGTGACAGAGTCTAAGCCTAATGCTGGAAATAATGTAGAACCTAAGACTTGCCACTACACTAATACTTGTTCAAGTACAAACATGCTACTGAGTACTGCTATTATTGGCATCCGTGATAACGATGGTGAACTAAAACAGGTAAGGGCCATCATCGATGGAGGGTCACAAACTAGTTTAATTACTACAGAATGTGTTGAACGCCTTGGTCTAAAAAGACGTTACAGCAAAATTACGCTTATGGCTGTAGCTAATACATCTGTCTCCCAAAACAAAGGCTCTGTAATGTGCAGTATAAGCCCAATCTCTACACCTAAAACTGAATTGACAACTGAAGCGATAGTGGTACCTAAAATTTCTTCTGATCAACCTAACATCCAATTAGATCGCTCTGTACAGTCAAAATTCTCTAATTTAAAGCTAGCTGATCCCACTTTTGACCAAAGTGCACCCATTGATTTTTTGTTAGGATCTGACTTGTACTATGATATTATTCTGGACTCACACAATATAATCAAAGGTCAACCTTCCGCTTTGGCAACCATATTTGGATGGATTATTGGTGGCAAAGTACCAAGCATTTCTTCTACAAATGAAAACTCATACTTTCTGACCTGCTGTGAGTCTGTAGATAAGATCAAAAGATTTTGGGAAACAGAGTCAGTAAACACTAAGAAACCTATCAATCCTGAAGACATTGAGACTGAAAATCATTTTCAAACTACTCATTTTCGTGATGAAACAAATAGATACGTAGTTTCACTGCCTGTAAGATCAGACAACATTTCGTTACCTAACACAAGAGAAATCGCTAAGCACCGTCTAATAAATTTAGAATCAAGACTGAAGAAAACCCCAACGATGTATCAGGAGTATAGGGACTTTTTGAATGACTACATTGCTCAAGGTCACATGAGCATTGCGACTACCCCCTCTACGTACATCATCCCTCATCACTGTGTAAGGAAAGAAGATAGTAGCACTACCAAACTCAGAGTAGTTTTCAATGCCTCTTTCAAACCTAAAAATGATGATAAGTCATTAAATGACAATTTGTTCCCAGGTCCTAAGCTGCAAAAGGATATAACTGAAATTATAACAAACTTTCGTCTTCATTCCATTGTTGTGTGTTCAGATATTAAGCAGATGTATAGACAGATTGTTGTAGCTCCTGAGCAACGGAGTTTGCAGCACATATTTTACAGAACCTTACCAAACGGACCTATTGAGGAGTATGAACTCAACGTTCTCACGTATGGTGTCACATCAAGTGCATTCCTAGCCCAGCGAGTTTTGTTGCAGCTTGTCAAAGATGAAGGAAAGCGATTCCCTCTAGCCTCAAACGCCATTCTGCATCAGACCTTTGTTGATGACATATGCACCAGTGTTGACACACCAGAACAAGCTTTGCAGCTACAGAGTGAACTCATCAAACTGTTAGATTTAGGAGGATTCACTTTACGCAAATGGTCCAGTAATTACAAACTTATCCTAGACAACGTACCAGAAGATCACCGTGAACAACCACTCGTCTTATGTTCAGATGAAGATCCTGGAATGAAAATTCTTGGACTGCAGTACAACTCCTTTGATGATACTTTTTCATACTCGATTAAGCTCAACCCTCTAGTTTTCACAAAACGATCAATGCTATCTGAAATATCAAAAATATACGATGTGCTAGGTTGGATCACTCCAGTTACATTCTATGTTAAGCATCTGATGCAAAAGTTATGGCTTCTTGGTTTGAACTGGGATGAACCTCTTCCAAATGAAATAAGTAGTAAATGGTCTCTGTTCATTTCTACTCTCCCACAACTTTCAAATATTAAGATCCAACGATTCATTCCCACAGCATCCTCAAATTCCACACAACTTATAGGCTTCTGTGACGCTTCTGAAAAGGGTTACGCTGCTAACTTGTACATCCGTACTGAAAACTCAGCTGGAATCAGAGTACACCTCATAAAAGCCAAAAGTAAAGTTGCACCATTAAAAACAATGAGTATTCCCCGACTAGAACTTTCTGCGGCTCAGTTACTTATGCAAATAGTAATTTCAGTAAAACATCTCAATTTTGACCCATCAACAATCATACTGTTTTCGGATTCATCTACTGTGTTGTCATGGCTCAAAACCCCTCCGTACAAATTGAAAACTTTTGTTGCCAACAGAGTAATTGACATTTTAGAAGAGACTAACCCAACACAATGGCGTCATGTAGCTTCGAAAGAAAACCCCTGTGATTGTGCCAGCAGAGGCATGCTTCCTGAAGATATAGTTGATTTTGATTTGTGGTGGAAAGGTCCTTCCTTCCTTCATGAACCCTCAACCCTATGGCCATCGTCAAATGTAAAACCCACAGAAGAAATTCATCTCCCCGAATTGAAATCAGAATGTTTCCTAACAACTAGTCTCGATAACAACATAGTAATGAAACTTATGGAAAAATTCTCTAGCTTGTCAAAAGTGCAGTTCGTTCTTGCCTACTTGTTACGATTTATCTTTAATCTTCAAAGTCAAAAGAAAGGAATAAGCAAAAGGCAAGGGCCAATAACCGCTCAAGAACTAAACGACTCATTAATGTTATGTGTCAAAAATGTTCAAGAACAATATCTCTCAGGTGAAATACAAAACATAAAGGAACAGAAAATGTGCACCACTAAGTATCGATCTCTAGCTCCATTTCTCGATGAAGAAGGTTATCTCAGGGTGGGCGGACGTTTAAAATACTCCCAACTTTCATTCTCCAGAAAACATCCTATCCTAATACCAACATCATCTCGCTTAGCAACTCTGTTATGTGATCACTATCATAAACTATCTTTACATGGTGGTCCTCGATTGTCCCAATCTCTCATACAATCAAAATTTTGGATCAGTGGATTACGCCAATTATTACGAGAAAGAATATTCAAATGTAACAAATGTTACATGTTCAAGGCAAAGCCCATGACACCCAAAATGGCTGATCTACCTTCTGCAAGATTTCAAAACCTCAGGGTATTCCTCAATGTAGGACTTGACTATGCAGGCCCATTTGAATTCAAAGAAAGTGATAGGAGAAAAGCTCCATGATCAAAGGGTTATTTGGTAATCTTCATTTGTATGTCCACAAAAGCCGTCCATCTTGAATTTGCTACAAGTCTATCAACAAAATCATTTCTTGCTGCTCTTGATAGATTCTGTGCTAGACGAGGTCTTTGTAAGCAGATTTTCAGTGACTGTGGTACCAACTTTCAAGGTGCCTCAAATCATTTCAAAGAGATTCAGGAGTTTTTAAAAAGATCCAATCCAGAGATATCACAGCATCTAGCCAAAAAGGAAATCAAATGGAACTTCAATCCACCTGCAGCCCCTCACTTTGGTGGACTATGGGAGGCCGCTGTTAAATCCACCAAACATCACTTGCAACGAGTAATGGGCACACTTGTTCTCACCTATGAAGAAATGAACACTTTGTTGACACGCATAGAGGCTATTCTCAATAGTAGACCAATCGGAAAGATGATCACAGACCTAACGATGGCGACTATTTGAGCCCAGGTCACTTTATTATTGGATCGCCACTCTTAGCTCCACCTGAAATTGACTGCAGTGACACACCCATGAACAGACTACAAAGATATGAACTTCTACAACAGGCTGTTCAGTGTTTTTGGAAGAGATGGTCACAGGAATACGTTCAAACCCTGATTCCTCGTAGAAAATGGACTTCACTTCAACCCAATGTCAAAGTTGGTGATGTAGCATACCTCCAAATGAAGAACACCAGCCCACTTGAATGGCCAATCGGGCGAATAGAAGAAACTTTCCCTGGACGTGACGGAATAGTAAGAGCAGTCAAGATCAAAACCGCACAAGGGACGTTTGTGCGCCCAGTTCACAAGCTGGTTCCTTTCCCTCCCTCTGACTTTGACTCATAAACTACCCTTTCCTTTTTTTGTTTTGTTTGATTTTTTGTTTTTACGTTTGCAAATATTCATTTGGGTGGGCGGTATGTAGAGTTTTGAATATAATATCAGAATAAACTACTGATAAAAGTAATGAATGGACTGGCTGGACATTGGTATTTCCAATGCATTCCATTATTGTTGGTTTTATCTATATTCGTTTTCCTTATCTGCCAGACAGTATTGTTCTTGTTTTATGCTTTCACTTTTTGCTCTGTCTCAGTCTACACACTACTGCCTTCTAGTTAACATGTCCTCAAATATATTGTAGTTATAGATTCAAAATGTAGTCTAAATTCTCTCTTTTAATTATAACCAATGTTAGAACATAATAGTACAGTTCAGTGTATCAGTGACAGTGATGTGAAGTGAATGAAGTAAATCTTCAGTAATATTTGGATGAAACCTCTACAAGTGAATGGACTGGTAATTCTCTCCTGTCGTCAACCTTCACGCCACTCTTAAGCTCAAGTCATCCCTCTCCTCTACGGGCATCACTGGACCACTAGCAGAGTCTCTCTACGTCAAACCTCTACTCTCCTAGCTACTCCTTTGAGGCCAACCCTCTGCAACCTTCCCAGACGACATCGCCAGCTCCAACCCTCTTACAACCGCTTCGCTACCCACGTCACGACCTCACTTGAAACTCACCACAACCTGGACTTCTCTAGAAAGACTCCGCAAGTAGAAAATAATTTTTAACTTAATTTATTTAGCAATTATTCAAAATACTCTTACAATATCTCTATCAGATTTTTAGGATTTAAAAGTTTTAACCTTCCGGAAGATTTCATTTAATATTCTAATCTAATATAACAGTTCTTGTCATAATTCAATATATCCAATTTTAAAACCTGTTACTGTATTAAAAAGTGTGTGAACTGAGAAGCAGAGTTTTTATTTCATGCTCTCCGATTGCCTTGGGGTAAAATTAAATTAATACATTTTGAGAATAGAATTTTTAAGGTTTAAAATTCTCTACGACTCAACACTAGGCTTTGTTCTAGGCTAGGCATATTAGGAATATAAGTGACAGTTAGAGGAAAGTTTAGGTACAGTCCTAATCACCACTTTTCTTTATGTTTTTTGGGTCGCTGAACACGAATATGAGGTTTGCTGACAGATATTTTGCCCGGAACATTGGTTATTTTGTGAAAAACCTTAAAATTTGGGCACTTTTTTTTGTTTTTCGGGCAAATCTCGGTAAGTATGGGTTTTTGAGAAAATCCTGCTTTGTAAAATTAAAGATGACAAAATTTACTACAAGTTTCCTATATAATGTTTGTTTCTACGACGAACCGTTTCGCCAATAGAGCACACTAAAAAAGGCCAGAAGTACAAAAAATTAAAAACATTGCTAAATGCTGCCGTTTTGCATTACGTTTCCATGGAAACAACCCATGTTACGATAATTTTAACTATTTATTTATGATAACAAACTGAAACACACTTTAAAATACCCCCGCCGCAGCAAACCTGCAGACTAAAGCGAATTTCCATTTACCTGATTGGATTTACACTAAAATGTCTCCTTAGAAATATCACATTTATTCCCTATTTAAATTAAAGTTTAACGAGTACTTAGGATTGCTGCAACTGGGGGGGTAAAAAGGTGTTTTTTGTAAAATGTAATAATTTAGTATGAAATGAATGCATTTTCCAAATTTGATCAAAATATGTTCATAAACAAGCAAACTACAACAGTTTACTTAGTCGCCATAAGAATAATAACATGGGCATTTTAAATTTACAGATTTTTGGAATTTTCTCCGTAACCGTTAGGCACATAACAACGCTTTAATATACTAAACTATTTGTTTTTTTAAGCTCTACAAAATCGTATGGAAAGAAATCGCTAAATTTTAAGTTTATAGGGTCAAAAATAGGAAAAACCAATTTTCACCCCCATAAAACCCCCCGTAAATCCCTGTTCCCATAGTCCGATCATGCTGGTTCGCGAACTTGTTCGAATAGACGTAGGTTTACATGTTTGTCCCAATTTTCATTAAAATCGGATGATTTTTGCTTGAGTTCTCGAGTTACGGAGAAAATTCCAAAAATCTGTAAATTTAAAATGCCCTTGTTATTTTTATGGAGACTAAGTAAACTGTTGTAGTTTGCTTGTTTATGAACATATTTTGATCAAATTTGGAAAATGCATTCATGTAATACTAAATTATTACATTTTACAAAAAACACCTTTTTACCCTCCCTGTTGCAGCAAACCTAAGTACTCGTTAAACTTTTATTTAAATAGGGAATAAATGTGATATTTCTAAGGAGACATTTTAGTGTAAATCCAATCAGGGAAATGGAAATTCGCTTAGTCTGCAGGTTTGCTGCGGCGGGGGTATTTTTAAGTGTGTTTCATTTTGTTATCATGAATAAATAGTTAAAATTATCGTAACATGGGTTGTTTCTATGGAAACGTAATGTAAAACGGCAGCATTTAGCAATGTTTTTAATTTTTTGTACTTCTGGCCTTTTTTAGTGTGCTCTAGTGGTGAAATGGTTCGTCGTAGAAACAAACATTATATAGGAAACTTGTAGTAAATTTTGTCATCTTTAATTTTACAAAGCAGGATTTTCTCAAAAACCCATACTTACCGAGATTTGCCCGAAAAACAAAAAAAAGTGCCCAAATTTTAAGGTTTTTCACAAAATAACCAATGTTCCGGGCAAAATATCTGTCAGCAAACCTCATATTCGTGTTCAGCGACCCAACAAACATAAAGAAAAGTGATGATTAGGACTGTACCTAAACTTTCTGCTAACTTTCCTAATATGCCTAGACTATTCAGGTTTACAAAGAACAGACAAAAATACTTCTACCTGAGATTAATACAAAATAATGTTACAGTGACTGGTTTCAACACCATCCTTGTGGTGTCAATAATGTACATCGTCTGTATCTTCTACACAACAATCGTAAGTAAAAATTACTTCTGGCTTATAACACAGGGAATCCAATTTATAATATCAAACTATACTAGCTGTGTGCCCGTTCTACGGACGGGGATCGTGTAGTCTGTTGAAAACTTTATTCATGTCAACAGATGGATTGCATATTAAGTGTGCAGTTTTCCAGATGCTTGCAATGCAAACCTATTATGGGAATACTCACTACATTCGAAAACACAATATCTGACAGTTTCAAGCCAAACTTAATGATTAGCAATCAAATGTCACCCGGATATAAATCTTTTGTTCTATTTGATAACCAATGATAAATGAGCAGGCACATTTATTTAATGATTTAAATCATAGACGTACTAACCCACATTAATATTTTGCGTAGTGATTTTTTCTACAGGTTAGACCTTTTTTATTAGTATTACCGTATGCAGTTCATTTTGAAAGGGACCAAAATGGTCATGCTTGCTTATACATAAAGTAAGTAGTAATCTTTTAATACTTTACAAAAAAAAATTCTGTTTGTACTGATAAGTTTCAAAATAGTTTTTATTTTAGTTTATTAACTAGGTATTTTTACAGACTAGATAATATTCACTTCAATGTTCTTTTATTGGAGAAGCAGGGGCCTGGCTTCCTATGCCTCTGCCTCACAATATGTACCAAGCAATGCCGGGGATGAGTTTTGGTATTAAAACGCTGAATATTACAGTGGGTCTCCCAATTTCAACATTGCTGCTATTTTTATCTTTGAAATGCCTATTTCCAACTCAAACTTATCACCAACTCTGGCAATAATATGTATTTTATCATTGCCATTGCCTATTATCCACTTAGTAGAACAATAAAACTGGTGACTATTTATCTACTCAGTAGATAAGGATTCAATTGGTTTATGGTTTTATGAAGGTTTGCCAAATATTATCAAATAAGTACTTAAACACAGATTATTAGTTAAATGTTTAATCAATAGTTAAAAGTTACATTTAGTTTGGAATTTGTTGTATGTTTTGATAAAAAAATATTTTGGACAGTTTGAAACTGGATCCAGCTGCCCTCGATCATTGTGCTTTGATAAAGTGTACTAATGTAACAGTTGGTCTTAATCAGTAACAAAGCTATACACAAGGCATCTTACTTCGTTCTACTATTAGGGAAGGTAAAGGGTGGACCAAAAAAACAGGGACAATTTTAAAATGTTATTACTCAGCTGTTATAAAGGCTGGAGAGTTCATTGATGCGGCAAAAGAAAGTTTACTTCATGCCATTTAGTGTATAGTTACTATGGATCATCAATGGTTACCGCAACATCGTGCCTTTGTCATAGAGACTTTTTTGAAGAATAATTTGACTTTCATTTCTACTCAACGTCAATTTCGTGTTCACTTCAACTTTGGCCGTAATGGTGCAGCCCCAAACCGAATAAACTACTCAAAGATGGGTAAACAATGTCCTAAACACGGCTTTTGTACTCAAAATTAAACCTATGCAAATTAAAATTTCAATGCAATGTTTTGCAAACGGTTGGCTTTGGACGTTCGACGCAGGACACTCGCGCGAACCATTTCAATGTTTTCCGGCGTTCGAACAGTCCGAGGTATCTTACTAGGTTTGACTTTGAGTGCAGAAGACGTGTTCTGGAAATTACTTACCCAACTTTAAATAGTTTTTCGCTTTGGGGTTGCACCATTACGGCCAATGTTGAAGTGAAAACGAAATTGACGTTGAGTAGAAATGAAAGTCAAATTATTCTTCAAAAAAGTCTCTATGACAAAGGCACGATGTTGCGGTAACCATTGATGATCCATAGTAACTATACACTAAATGGCATCAAATAAACTTTCTTTTGTCGCATCAATGAACTCTCCAGCCTTTATAACAGCTGAGTAATAACATTTTAAAATTGTCCCTGTTTTTTTGGTCCACCCTTTATAAAACTAAAATTGTAAAGGAATTAAACAAATTTTGATAGGGTAAAGAGTTGTGAGTATTAGTTGTAGTGAATACATAACATTGACTATACTTAAAGAGGAAACATTATACACAATTTTAAAATCATATTTCAAAAGACTAAGGACCCAGACAACTCTTTAACGATAAAATAAATATGTTCCACAATATTTATTACAATAAATACATATCCATTGTGCGTTTGCTTTAATTGGATTAATTTGACTATGATAACCATGAGGCAATATTGAGACGGCGAGTACGTGTTCAAATGTTTTGGAAAAATATTTTTTCACATCTTTACACAATTTAGACTACCACGTAATTTAAAGCTGGTTACAAAGAGATGAGTACAATCCGACTATGGAGAGTGGTCAGTGGTGTAGTCGCAAATTTTCTGGTGTGGGAACACTCATTGAGGTATAAAGGAAAGGAAAAATACGGGGGGGGGGACCGTTTCTACGTTCCCAACCCTCTACACCACTGGTTGTAATCATCCCTGTTGTAAAGCTGTTGCCAGCAGAAAATAATTGAGCTGCCTAGAGGAATGATATGTTGTCAATTACTAATTACAGAAATGTTAACCACACCAAACTGAAATGACAACTTATTGTCAATTGTAGTTTGTTTTATGTCAATAATGAAAAGTAAGAGAACAAAGCTCTGGGACTGAGTAGCTCTTTCAAGTATGTTCTTAATGAATAAAACCTTGACTACAGCCGATTTCTATAAATGGGGTTTTTGTCCACACAAGTATCTAAAAGTCAGCAGTAAAATTTTTATCTCTCAAGGCTAATTATTAAATTTTTAACTTGATAGGATTGTATAAAAGGGTGTGTGGAAGAAATTGTAAAAAATATCTAACCTCAAGTTTTAATGGACAGTGTTCTCTAAATTATTTGTTTGTAATAATTCTTAAATTTAGTTATTTAGTGTAGTAAAATAATATGCTATAATTTTCAACTATTTACTGTGGACTACCATCTTGAAAAATGTTATAGTTTGATTATATTCTGTACAGGGAGGCATGAAAGCAGTGGTATGGACAGATACTTTCCAAGTGATAGTCCTCTACTGTGCAATGTTTGTTGTTCTCGTCAAAGGCACCAATGACATTGGTGGTTTCAACGTTGTCTGGGAGCGCAACGCAGCTTTTAATAGAACCAACATCTTTAAGTAAGATTATATGTATTATATATAAGATTACACTAGAAATCATTATCTATTGATATTTATTATGTCTCTTCTTGTTTAGAAATATTTCAATAACATGATTCAATTCCTACTGATATTACGAAGCACATGAGATATAACAAAGGTGAAATGACAAATGATGTGTGACCTCTGAAAACATGAAACTGGTTGTTGTAAATTATTGGACTTTTGTGTTCGTATAGAAGGAGGAAGTATTATTAAAAGAAGTAATTTTTATATATCAGATTATAGTGTGAATCAGGTTTATTTGGAATGTGACTGGAAAATAAATATGCCTTTCCGCTTATGATTTGATTCTTTGTTGCATAGCCCCAATGTTTGGATCGCTAATCCCAACTAAGTACGGTAATATATGGTGGCTCATATTAAGTTGGAAGTCCTCTGTCACAACTAGGACTTATCAGCTGTGACAGACTGGGTAACTGAGTGGTTATAGTGCTCGCCTAGCAACCAAAAGGTGAATCAATCCTGAGAAAATAAGTCAGTAGCATTTTGGAGGTTTGAGCTAGACCCAGCTGTGATCATTGGTCAATGATCCTGGTTAAGGAAACAGCTGATCAGTCAGTATCAAAACCACACAGATCACTCCATTCTACACTCATATCATTCACTCATATTAGGGTTAAACCCACTTAGATGGGGGTGGCGGCCCCATCTCTATTGATAATGGTAATAGATAATGAAAATGATAATGTTTTACCAGCTGGACCTGGGATCCGACAGTTCGCTACTCTGTACTTTCCTCCTTCATCGGATCTTCGTTTCTCCATATGGCCATCTATGGAGGAAACCAGCTGCAGATTCAACGCTACCTCACTGTCGGCTCTGACCAACAAGCTAGGAAGTTTGTAAATCTCTCACTATAACTATGCAATATAGATTACTTTACAGCTACCTAGATCAGTAATTTGATAGTACTGTAATATAGTAACTTTGACTATTAATACAACTACAGTTCAACCGCTTAGAAAGCGACCTCCTCCAGCATTGATTGGTTTAGCATTATCACGCAGGTAGTTTTCTAAGCGGCCAAACTATAGACATTCCATCTCCATCCCCATGTAAATATTTTTGCCAATTTTTAAATCAAAATCAAAATAGTTGATGAGCCACACTGGCAGATTGTGCTGATGTAAATCACTAATTTTATTTCTGTCTAATACAAGAACACTTTTACCAAATCAAACTGATGAAACAACTTATTGTCAGCTATAGCAACTGTTATGTATGACCCATACAACTAGGTCAGCAACAAGAAATTATGTAGGAAATAAAATTTGAGACACTATCGTATTCTGTGACTGGCTTACACAACTATGTTCTTTTTTAATAAAAAATTGAATACAGAGCTGGGAGATGGGATGTCTACTTTAGTATCCAATAGTCAACGATATAAGTTAGTATATAAAATACATGAAAATAGTTATACATAATACACCAACTATTTTTTCTCCCTATTAGTTTTATTGTAATAAGTTACAAATTACCTAGAAGTATAACCCATTATGAGGAATTACAGACGACTAATAACCAAACAACCTTACCTACAACAGGAGGCCACAACATTTTTATACTCAGCATAGGTTTTGTTATCTGTATCTTAATCTGTGCACTCTGTAACCTGAAGGCTCCTGCTCTATCCACCGTTGAAGAGGTCAGTTTATTTACCTTAAAACATATGGGATATTGCAGTGAATTTTTCAACAAATCTATTCCCTTACTGTGGCGTCATGAATCCTGCGGCATGGCCTGTTTTTCTAGTGGGGCCTTGCATAAAGCAACGTTAATTGATTAATTGCTCAGTGCCAAACTCAACTAAGTACTGGATGGATCGTAAACATTTACTAACAAAACCGGTTTGATATTCATAACTAATGTAGTTTCTATGTCCTAGTATGCTGTGGATCAACATGGTGGGGTGGACAATGGTAGTCATGCTTACAGCCTACGCTGGAATGCTGATCTTTGCCCACTTCTGCTACTGCGACCCACTACTCACAGGTGTAAGACAGTTTGGTAATCTTTACTATTCAACAGATAAAATACAATCACTTACGGTAATGGGTACATACAACTACAAAATACAAATGGTTTTTGAAAAATAATGTTGTTTGTTTTGCAAAAACTGTTAAAATTTAATTTAAGTTTTTATAAATCCTATACTCTAATACAAGCTTTGTCTGTTTGCCTGCCTGTTACCATGGATTTCTTTTTAAAAAAAATGGCCATGGCTAAAGAAAAAGTTATTCTTAGTCATTAATAAATATTGGATTCAATTCTACAATTATTATTCTTCAGTCATAGTTAAACAATTACAAACTACCCTTGTTACAACCTGCACTCAGCACTTATTATGACTGACCGATACTACTGGACAACATACTCTATGCTCCAACGGCATCAACAGAGAAACTACTGCATACATTTTCAGAATACACGGTTATAACAATTTAAATTAAATATAACTTTACATTTCAACAATTGTTGCTTTACTGTATAAGATTTGTTAGCTTTGTTTAATAGTAGCTCTAATTATTATCTCATTTTCAACCTACATATAACAAACAATAAATGTAAAAGTTTAGCCAATAATAAAAGAAAAACTCAATGATGTAAGGACGACATGGTTTTGTAGGAAAACCTCTCAACTGAGCAAATGTATTATCTATGAAATATTTTTTTATACAGACTGTGACGACACCAGATCAGCTGTTTCCCCTTTACGTAATGGAGACTCTGCACAACTATCCAGGGGTTCCTGGACTCTTCATGGCTGGCATCTTCAGTGCTGGACTCAGGTAATTGAAATACTGTACATCTCAAGTAAAAACATAATCCTGTCTTAATATCACCGAAACAAATTTTACAATTACCGAGGAAATTCAACATATTATCAGTCCAACACCATAATACATTTGGAAATGATGGCTTAATATGAGACTGTATCTTTGTTACTAGCACACATTGTTCTAAAGCCCATTTATTGAAATCCCAATGATCAAGGAAAGCTTGGATTAGTTTAGAACCATCAGAAAGCTATACTCAGTTTCCCAGGAAAGAACCAAAAAAATTTGTAAGAGAGCATTATATCAACCACCCAGCTACTTTATTGTCATCAGCTGATTTTTAGGATTTGATTTCCTCAGAGCATTATGTGTAATCTATGGTAATTAATACTCTCTCTTGGTGTTCCAGCACTGTATCGACAGGTGTCAACTCGCTCGCAGCTATCTGGTTTGCCGAACTGGATGGAACTAACTTCAAAGAGAAGTTAACAGAAAAGCGAGCAGGATTAACAGTCAAACTACTCGCTCTGTTCTTCGGTATTCTCTCCTACCTTCTCGTCTTCTTGGTACCCTTCATGGGTGGCCTTGTTCCGGTAAAAAAATAGCTTTAAAACGTATACAAACCCAGTAAACCTTTGAGCTCTTAAATTTTGGACCCCTTATGCATGATAAGCTTTAAAAGTATCAAACAAGATTTGTTTAAGTTTAAAGAATATGTTCATGTAGGAACCCAGAGACCCAGGCCCTCGGTTTGCATGTGTTATGGGTCCGAGAGATAATTGCACCCCCTTTACCCTCCATTAAGAGCATTCTTTCTCCCTTGCACCTCATATACCCTAAAACCCATCCCTATGCATGGGTCCATTTACTAAAGCAGTTTTGCATCGTCGTCTCCCATTTCATAATGGAATTCTAACATAGTGTAGGTCGATATTTTTGTTACAACGCTTGTTTGAGTTCTTTTGAAGTGGGAACGTTTTCAGCAAAGTAAGGAAGTAGTTTAGCTCAGTAAGAAGTTTAACAAGAAGGGAGAAAGTGTTGTTATGGGCACTGAAATATACAAGCCCATTGCAATGCTTTTATAAATACAAAGAGTGAAACATTAGGTACTGATTGAGCCGAGCCACTATAAATAGACCAAAGATGGTACTTTCCACTTGGAGACTTAAGTGCAGACTGCAGATACAACATATGGGATCTGTGAAAATGTGACAAAATACTTGATTAGGCCTATTAATTTATTTGCTCATTTCAGGTGACAATCTCACTGTCAAGTATTTTTGCTGGGTCACTATTTGGAGTTTTCATTCTAGGAATGTTTTTTAAGCGAGCAAATACTGTGGTAAGTATAACAAACCTTAACCTAGAAGTAAATAAAATATCATGGTAATTACAACAAGTGTAATTATTTTTAATGCTTCCTTTAGACTAATATTTAATATCATACTGTACAGTAGATAAAACATAAATACTCTGTTTTATCTATGCTAATACCAATAGCTATGTGAATTATTTGAGAAAACAACTGTCAGTGTCAAAGTTGTGTATTCTGAAACAGAAATATAACTCAGCCCCAAGAAGCCAATTAACGCAGCTGCCTCTGCGATCATTAGAATTATTGAAAGAAAAACTATTTGTAATTTGTAATTTATTTGTAATCTGCCTGTAATCAAGTACGGTAATTAAAGTAGTTATAATACCATTTTTCATAGATGTTTGTTATTTCTTTTAAAAACCATCCACCTCAATGGTCACCGTTTATTGTGTCATACCTTATCTGACCTGCAGATATATTTAATTTATCCAAGTTATTTCAAGTTTCACATGCAAAACGGAAAACTTCTATACAGTAGATAAGTTACTGTATTTCTTTTAAAGTAGGGGAGATAAAAATTAAATGACATCACCATTTTGGAAACTCCTTGCAAAAATCAAATTTTGAAACATCAATTATTGTAAAGGATACACTCATTATAGATTTAGACATGCTGCAGTTTTCCCAAAGTGCAGTAACAAACTCCCTGTACTTGCCAGGGTGCTGCAGCAGGGCTGATATCCAGTGTGGTCACAGTGTCCTGGATCTGTATTGGATCAATCTTGGCTGTGAAATCAGGACAAATCGTAGATGAAGCTCTGCCCTCCTCCACTGATCATTGCCCTGGAAACTTCACGACAATCTCCATGTCCAATCAGTAAGTGTATAAACTAATGATGCTAAACTGATCCCTTCTACTGTTTAATGTCATTGCATGTTTTGATACGATGCTGATATTATATTGTTTGTTCTGGAATTCAATCTTTCACCATCCAAAGTTCACAGTAATTTTCGATCAATGATGACTGTATACTTTGACTATGGATAGAACAAACTAGACTTACCAAAGAGTTTAAATTATAGCAACTTATGTACAGTATAATGTTCTACTTGTTTAAAACACAGGATGTGATAAAGCTGGTCCTTCATACAGATAGGATGCCTACTTTAGTACTGTATCACTGTATCCACAATTTAAAGCCTCTAGTGTTTGAAGTCAATAAATATGTCCGAACTCCTCCGCTTTTGTGTGTGCCAAGCCCATACCTCTTAACGCATGCCTTGACCCAAGTAACCCATGTCTCAAGCCATTCCCAAATTGAGTCGGAAGGAGCTCTATTCCAGAGCGAACGCCCCGGCATAGTGCAAGACAATCCACCAGCCTTGGATTTCTGTGGTTTTCAACATGCAACTGGATGACATTTGGACAAGTCGTCCATGTTGTAGATTTTTGGAGCAAAACATGAATAACGAGGAAACCTTATAATACATGACTATCGCTCTCAAGTGTGGTTGTGGGACTTACACTGTAAATTTTACACTATCAAAACAAATTGGAATTACGCTTGCTCAGATTTAGCCAAAAAAATACAAAATGATCCTGCGAAGGATGTACGGAATAAAATAGAAAGCCTGCGGTCATATTTTTAATAACATTTACTTGGAAGTTAATATATAGCCTATAGTCTGATAATTTTTCGGGCAATATTTCAAATGTGAATAATTAATTTTATAACAAATTTCCCGAGCGAAGAGTGGGCCAAACAGCAAGTCCTCTACTGTATATTCAATGGTGAAGTTTGTGTTCTGAATAAACCATGGTTTCATGGTTCTTCGTTTGAAGGAAAGATCATTTTAAATATAATGGAATGTCAAAGAAATAATCGGCATAAATAATGAACCATGGTCTTCATCCATCTTCGAAAAGGCATCTAAAGAGTGAGGCAAGAGAGGGGGGTGGGTATGTCCAAGTCTCCACTTAAAAAACAGGCCATGCTGCAGTGCAGGCAGCGCAACACTACGTCACAGTGGTGGATAGTTTTACTAAAAACTACCGTTAAAATCTGAAAAAAACAGCCTGCTTACTTACCTAAAACATATGGGACATTATAGTGAATCTATCAAGAAATCAATCCACTAGTTTGACGTCAAGGATCTTGCAGCATGGCCTGTTTTTCTAGTTGGGCCTAGGTATTCCCTCTAATGGTTTTGTGGGGTCAGATGCGGAGAGCTGGTGCGAACTATCCCGACCACGGCCACGACCACGGCCACGACTACGACCAAACGCCCGAACGGTCATTGTTGTTCACCATGCGTCCAGAGCACGACCCGACCAAGGCAACGAATGTTTACCAAACTTCAGTGTCAAGATGGATGTTAAAGAAGTGGCTGAATGAGTAACGTTGTCACGTCCACTAAACATCAGCGTGATCTTCTTCAAAGCTTCCTTCTTCATCCCTCTGTTGGCATAATCTGCTGACAGATCCCATAAACAGGACCTTTCTTTAATAGCCATAATTAAACTCTCAGTGTCAAAAATCCTGCCACATTTTACAAAAGAAGTCACTTCACAAACAGCACAAAAAACAAGTGCTTGCCGTTTAATTGATCTAGGAATACTGGAGTGTAGGCCTACTGGTCGGGTCAGAGACAAGTCGGGGGTGGTGGACGTCGTCCCATTACAATGTGTTATATTTTTGGCTGCAACAGCCAGTGAGTCGGGCCCGACCAAACTGCAAGGACTTTGGTTGTGCGACCAGAGTCCGTCCAGGGTCCGACCAGTCGAACAGTGCACGCTGTTCTATTAACTCCTATTATAAAACTGGCCGTATCCGACGGGTTGGAGTCGTGGTCGTGATTTGGGATAGTGTGCGCCAGCCCTGAAAGGCATGCCTCAAAGTGAATGCAATAAGCCATGTGTTGATGATGCATGTTTGAATTGAATATTAAATTGAAATTTTAAAGGTGTATTAATATGAAATTGCACATGTGTGGTCTCAATTGATTTAATGCATGAAAAATGTTTAACCGTATAATCTTTCCAAATGTTTTTTGTGACGATATGTGTTTTTTAAAATTTTGACAGTAAATAGTTTTACTATAGAGCAATACTTAAGTGTGTTTCAAAACTTGTTATCTATTAACAGATTGTATTAATGACAACTAAAGGTATATTCGGTATTCACCCTAAGCCATAGTAATTTGAAGAATAGTTAGGAGCTACGTAAGGTTGCAATTAGACCCAATTATGTGTCTTCACATATCTTCATAATTGCTCAAAACTGTACCCAGTGGTCAGCGTACCCTTATTAGGCATTTAATAAAAATGATTCAGGCTAAAGAGCCATCTGATCTTATACAGTAACAAAGCTGTCATCTCATTCATCGTCCACTTATCTTCGTCAATACACACCCTGGTGAGTCAGGGTCCTACAAATCTAATCTGATCTAATTTCCAGACAAGGTGAGGAAAAGGAATACGCTTGGGTGGTGTACAGAGTGTCCTACCTCTGGTACTGTCTGATGGCACAGATCATCACTATAGGAGTGGGGCTGGTGGTGAGTGTCGTGACAGAGCCGCTGTTGCCCCCGCCTAGCAACCCCTCGCCACCCCCGGGATACACTGCCGCCCGCTGCCAGCCCGAGGAACAACCACTGCACGACACCAAACCTCCCGTCATCACCACCTTTGGCAACAAACTGAACCACAGAATATCACACAACCTGTAGATTAGCTTTTGTACAACTTGTGAATAAATTTAATGTTTAATGTAGTTTTTTTATCCTTTTTTTACTTAAACATATTTGTTATGGATTTTTTTATATTAAAATAAATTGTTTACTCGGTATAATCCTAAACCTTTGTGATATTTTATTAGCTTTACTAGTCTTTCTTTGTGAAAGAGGAGCGGTTAGTTTGGTGTAGTATTTATCTAAGATTGCTACAGCGTCATTGAATCCAATATTACTTACGGGTGTAAGATGCACCGAGTCGAATACAATTTTGAAAGGTTGTGGGCCTAAGTGTCCTAGTAAAATGTCTCGTTTCTTGTCTTCATTCTTGACGTTTTCGTTCCTTAATCTGATTTTCAATCGTTCATACCAGTAAACCCAATCTTTGGTTGTCCCGTCAAATGAGCTACACTTAAAATCAATGTAATGTAAAGAAGTCAATTTTATTGTAGAATGTGAATGAAGTGAGTGAGCCCCACAGCAATGTGATATGGTGATATGCATATAAATTTGTTAATCAGATTCTATAAAATTTAAACTCTTCTCTGACCCAACTCGTCAAATTGACTTAAATTTAAAATTGTCAAAAAATTCAAAAGCAAAATTATCATCTATACAACGTTTTAGTGCTAAATGTGAAGGTAATGAGAAGGTTTACACAATTTTCGATTCAATTAAACCAAGCAGATGCAACCTTACAATTTACACCAAAATGCCTTAACTCCATCGATATCGGCGATTTCCCACCTCATGACCCAATTAAATCTCAAAGAGAACACCGTTGTAAACAGAACGCTGTCGCAAAACCTGGACATAACTGAAGGGATGTACAACAGAACTCAATTAATTGTAAAAAACTACACAATTTTATTAAGCCAAAAAAATCACTGGATAACATTCTGGAAGATTTTATTCCTTTCCACGAATTACCTTAGATTGCAGTAAGTCCCATCTTGGAAATACAATGCAGCACCTTCAGTTTCTTATGCGTCAAGCTTAATTTCACAATGGCCATACACAAGAGCCAAAGGACAAACCCTGAAATTTGTCAGTGTGATAATGCTCACTGGGGTTTCAATGCATGGTATGCTTTACGTGGCTTATTGGTTTAGAACCAAAACGGCTTGAAAGTGTTCTTACCGCCAAATAATTCTACTCACACCTGAAAAATAGTAGGCCTATGGAAAGAAGTTAAAAATAATCATTCCCAATGCTCCTACAAATCCCTCAAACGACAGTCCATGATATATCAATTGTTAAAAGTTAAAATGTAAAACATTATGTGGATTGCAATTTATTTTAAAGATGCATTTTTATTTGAATCACCTATATTTGTTCACATTGTTTACAGAGCAAATATTTTTTTATTTAATTAAAATAACTATAAATGAAATAAATGTTCAACTAAATCTGAGCAAAGCTCGGTCTTGCGGTACTACACTAATATTGTACATTCTCTTTATTAATTCTACATTTAAAACCATTCAAGCTCTTCTTTAACTTGTTTATGCTAAAAACTGTGCAATTATTGTACAAACTAAACATTAAAAATTATTATTATACTTTTGAAACTGCACAATTCCCTTTAGTTATGCCAAAGGTTAAGCCTACCTGTTACAGTTAAGTACAACTGTTTGTACGATTTGTTTGTAAATTATTTATTGTTATTTATGCGTTTATTGTTATCTATTGTACTGTTGTGAGTGACGTGTATATACACTAAAAGTTAATTTCTTCAGCATGATGAACTTTCCCATAAATATGACACTTGTCAAGTATTTTTTGTGATATATTAATGCTGCAATGTAAGTGTGTTAAACCTTTTTTATACCATTGGAACACAACGAATAAATCAAATAAACTGCATAATAAGTCTGCACAATTCACATAACCAACAACACAATACTTGACCAAGTTAGTTTATTCAGCGAGATGGACTTTAACCATATTTTTTTATGTAACATGGCAAGTAATTTTTTATGATGTATTAATTATACAATTTAATTGGGTTAAACTGCTTTTTAGCATTGGAATAAAATAAACCAATAAAATGAAATAAACAGCATAATAAAAAGACTGCACATGTTACATAACCAACAATACAATATGATTCTGACCAATTATAAATAAATTATAAATCAATTAAAAATTAACCAATTATAAATCATAAATTTTAAACTTCACAATTCCTTTGACAATTATAAACCAAAATTCATTTCAAGCTATATCACACGTTGAATTTGCGCTCAAGTTTTACAGAGCCACTCTTATCAACAAACAATACACTCAACAATACAATTTCACGACCTTACTTTCAACAATGGCTAATCAGCTGGGCGGCCATGATAGTCACGTGATGTCCCAGCCAAACACCAAACAGCTGTTTATCACTGATTCCCCTACCTACCTCACCTGACAGGAGGAAAGTGTAGTAAAGCTGTGGTGGGGGAATTGTGTTGTTGACTTCGTCACATTGGTGTACCATTAAACAACTCTGGGAATGGGAATGGTGAATGGAGTTGAGAAACTAAACATGTTCGCGGATTTGTGACCGGAATGGTGCTTTTTGTAGGTTATGAATTTGACAACTAGTTCTGCCAGGCAAAATCCATCAGATATTTAGTAAGTAACGTTCACGAAATTAAAATATTTTATGTGCTTTGATTCTATAAGTGAATATGTCAAAAAGTAATTAGGAAACTACAGTTTATTGTGTCGAATATTGTCCTCAATAAAAATCTTATGCTTGTACACAGGTAGGATAATAGCCTAGCAGTTAGCAGGTGTTCAAATACCAGTATGTGTAATTAATGTGCTTAGCATTTAACAGAATGGTTTTTTGTAATGTTGTTGTTATATATATATATATATATATTTATTTAACAATATTGTTGTAGAGAGAATTACTTATGGAAATATAGTCTACCATATCAGTTAATTGTCAGTAATTATGTCTGTATGTGACAACTTTGATATCTTGTCTTATCTGACACCTTCGTTTTAATCCCTCCTGACTTTCTTAGTCCAACATTAATAATACAAAGTATTAGCCTACAATGTCTGCTATCTATTTACCAGTTGTTAAGTGTCGGAATTACCACTAGAGGCCCTGGTCTAGGTGTGCAGCGGTATTTTAAAAAAGAAATTTAGAACACACTGGTGACAATAAAGATGTCCGCTTGATCCCGGGGGGGATGTTCAAGATTTTGCCTCGATCGCTGATGAGGATGGTGATGTTCCCTTGATCGCAGGAGATGTTCACGATTCAACCGCGAATGCTGTAGGCGATAATAGCGTCCCCTTGTTGATGGAGATGTCCAAGATTTCTCCGCGTTCCCAAGTGATGATGATGATGTCTCCTCGTTCGTGGGAGATTTTTAAAAACGTAATTGATTTTCCGTGATTGCATGGAAGTTCCACCTTAGGGGATAGGGCCTAATCAGGTTCATTCGGCATGGGGGGTTCATTAGGGTTCTTTCGGATCAGGTTAATTTGGCCAAGAGCCACAAGTACCATAAATCTGTACATGCAGTTGGGGTTTGAGGATGGTAACTTTTAAGTTTGAATCCAAATAGAACTTTTCATAATATTTTTTTTAACTGATCAAGATCACATAATTATTTCATCCACCAAAAGTTTATCAATCACATGCTTTGAACTGCAATACTGAGAGGTTATACATTGTATAGCAAATCTATAGCTTTTATATACCTAACACAGCAACACAGGGTGGGGGCAATTAAATCACCCCAATTTTCTGTTGCTGTCACATGATAAGTTAATGCACCAATAAATTAACAGTTTATAGCATAAGAGGTTAATTTACCATAATTTCGTCTTGTGACTCCTTTACCTCCTCTAGAGTAGATTACGATCATTACAGTGAATATGTCGCCTTCATCAGATACTTGTTAAGAATATCAATTAATTTTTACTCATATCCAGGTCGTCAAAACGTGTTTGTGTTAAATGTTACTGTAATGTGTATCATATACATACAGTGATTTTGCTTTGAAAACCCATTATTCAAATTAAATTATTCTTGTGCAAACACACAAAGATGGTTTGGACCAAAATCCATCCTTGTTTGACATGGCACTGTTCCAGATCAAAAATCGTTATGAAACTGGGTGGGCTAAAATTATTCAGGGTAACAGCTTAAACCCTAAAAATAATAGGTGGAAGGTGCAAAACTCTTAGTACCCCAGCAGATGTCGGAAGGGTGTAGGTTGTGGTTACTCAAAGTCCAAACAGGTTTGCTAGGAAGCTTTCCTTGTTGAAAGCTTTACATTGGCTTTTTTATTCTTTGGGAGTTCTCCCTATAAGCTACTTATATTTAAAGGTTTTTTTTTCAAATTTACCGTACCCAAGATTTGCTTGAACTGTAGCTAAGATTTCTCCAGGAAGTTAAAGTGGTTCCTAAAGAAATGTTGGAATTAGTATTTGGAATTTTTTAAGCAACTAAAAAGTAATGTCAAGTATTGTGGGAGGGGTAGACTCGTGGTCCAAGCACATCAACCGAAGCTCATTGTGCACACTGTCAAGTAGGACAAGGACATAAAGGACATTGTTTTCAAGAAATGGAAAAATGACTCTGTCAAGTTAAAATGGCATATATAGCGGCTGTGTATGTGCTATATATGTAGAACCTATAGGGTACTGTTAAACAGTTTTGAATTGGTCGCTTTCATTTCCTCATGACATTTGTTGAGTTTAGATTGTGTCAAATTCTTAATTTACTTTTAATAAAAACCACAAGATTACAAACCATAGTTACAAATCATGAAGTTTAGCGATATAAAAAAATAATCCTGTAATGGTGAGTTTTTTTTCCTAGTTTTATTAACTAACTTATTTGCATTTTTTAAATAATTATATTCATCAATACATTATGAATCTGGGCTCAAGTAACAATCTAATAAAATTGTACAACCTTTCGAATCGCCAACCTCTACTTTTGAAAAAATACCACATACACAGAGTTTTATTTTACATTATTGTCATAATATCCAAAGTACAATGTGTTATTTTTTCCTAAAAATCATACTTTATTACATAAGTGTAGAATATAGGCTAAATAAAGTGGGTTCTACCACTGCACTACCTGAAAGCATAGTGAATGCTGGTTACATTCGTTATAGACAAATTATACTTTATAAATATAAAAATTGAGGTCATTTTGAAATTTGAAATGTATTGTGTACTTTGGAATGTTGTAAACTTAAAATATTATTTCTGTGACCTACACCACTGTTAAAAAACGTTTTTGGCCAATCAGAGGAAAGTATTTTAGGAGTTGGAAACAGTAAGACGTACATGGTCTTAAAGTTTAAAGATATTTTCCAATAGGTGTTTGAAATAATAAAAGACAGAGTCTTTAGTGAACAAGTTACTTTAGGGGTATGTATATTGCAAATATGTATAGGTATTTTTGTAACCCCAGAGGAAGAATTCCCTAGTTCTTTTTCTAATTTTTACCAGATTATTGATACTATTACATTTGTCACATTCTACAACACGGCACGGTATATATTTCTCTAAGCATTCTACATCGGTAATATTTTTTAGTTTTGTAAATTTAGTGTGAGACAATTATTGTAACAAAATTAACATTTTAAAAAACTGTTAAGCTGTGTGTATGTTTTATTCAAACTTAATAAATAAAGCATTAGCCTTTCAAAAATCCTGCATCTTTGAGTAAGCTCTTAATACAGATAAAATCCTAGATAAGTGTTTTTCACTAATTTTACTTGCCTACATTACCGTATTATAAAAAGTAAAAAGAACCACTTAACCATTTTTCTAATCAGTTGAATTTCTCCTCACTCATTCTTAACAATTGTAATTTGTAAAGATTGTTAGAAAGAGTGATTATCACAAAGTGGTGTTTGTTTACAACATCTGATAAAACATGACTCACATGTCTCTTGTGTCAGCCAGCTAGACTACCTTGTTTCAATAAGAGTGTTTACCCAATGCTTTCATTCATGTTGTTTTACCTTTGAAGAACTCTAAAACCCCACCAGTTCAGTAAACAATAAAAAAATAAATAACCAAATTCATCAAACTGTACATTTTCTTGGGCCTATATTGCAAATATCTTATTTCAGAATTGTTTAACGGTAGTGAAATAAAATAATATAATAACAGTGTTTTATTTTAATGGTATAGCATGGGGATACACATCTATCTTAGACTTTTTAGTCTTTAATAATTTTTCTTTGACTTTTTTATTATGATTTGATAAATAAGTGGCTAAATAGAAGATTTGATAATAAATGTAAGGGTATATTTAAATAAAAGTTAATGGTGTTTTTCATATTTTGAAATACATTTTTATAATATTTTTTTCTAAATATGTAACTTCTGAAATAATCAACCAGTCACAAAAACCTAGGTCCCAATTTATTACTGATATTAAAAGGAAAAAAGTGATGTATAGATATCATGGTAGCACAATAAACAATGATAAAAGAAACATATTTTCAATAAAATATTTTTTAAATAAAAAAAAACACTATTTATTTACAAAAAAATTATTAAATTCAATTGTAAATGTGTTCGGAACTTGATGCCTATAAATAGAAATCTTTCAAATAGGCTACTATCAAGATCAATTGTAAAAAATTGTATTTGAATAGGGAAGAACTTACAATGTTATCTAAACTTTTGTAGGGCAGAAATATAAAAAACACAATTCGAGCCAACAACTTACAAAAACGACCTCCATCAGTGAGCTCCACAGCCCCCTGATTGAAAACCACACAAAAAGTTTGCTGAGCTTACATCTTTTAGTGAACTGATGTAAATATTCTTAAACTATAGTATATGCACTCTTTCCATCAATATTTTATACTATAAAAGGTTTTATTTGCGACAAAAACTGTATGCAAAGATAGAGTGTAGTGCTGACACTTTATCTTTTATAATAATATATTTTGAGTAGCCTACTAGGAAATTAAAGTGGTTTGATTAGAAACCTGTTTCAAAATAAATTTGTTGAAATTTATGACTTTTTGTTTAAAAAATCATATTTTAAAACTTTTAATTAAACTAAAAAAATTATATTGAAAAGAAGGAGAGTTGGTCCAGTTATTATTATCAGTTGCTATGCGCTAACACAGATATGTGCATCCTGTTATTGTATATATCTGTCCTCGAGTTAGACCGACCAATAGAAACTGTTTATTCCAGATTCACCAAATAAGGCATTTATGATTATGGTGAATGGTTTTAGCCCGAGGGATAGATAATTCTTCTGTCAGCCCCTGCTGGCACCTCCTGAGATGTAAGTAGTCCCTCTAGTATTGTCCAGTCGGCCAAAACTTTTAAACATACCTATTACAATTATCTAAATTATAAACCTGTAAATAATCGCTTAAAGGACTAATAATTCCAAACCATACAAAATATCAGAGAACTCACCTAGCAATTATCATTTCTACATCAATTATCATTTGTTGGATCATTTCTATAAATAAATTGTAAAAGATGTTTACCATTATTTAAGTATAAATCATTATGATTTATGACTTATAACTTTGCCTTGTGAAGTTAATCCATATCTAGTCATGGTGCTTAATAAAGTATAGTACAGTATTGAGATTTAATTGTTGTTCGTCATTGCCCAGCCATCCTGGCGCACAAGAGATCGCACGGTTATGAATTGCCCTTCTTCCCCCATCTTGTTTTATTACATTTCTTGTTTGTATATCAATTATCAATTATCAATCATTAAGATGGGGACGCCACTTATAGGTGCGTATTTTAACCCAAATATGAGTGAAGGATGAGTGTAGAATGTTGTGAGATGATCTGTGTAGCTTTGTTACTGACTAAGATCAGCTGTTTCATTAGCCAGGATCATTTATTTAAAGCCCAATGATCAGGAACAGCTGGGTCCAGTTTCGAACCATCAAAAAGCTACTGACTTTTCTCAGGATCGAACCACCCCATAAAATACAAAATAGAATAAAATACCCCAAACAACAAGTTGTAATCTAATTAATTTTATTTTTGGATGAATCTGTAAAAATACTTCATTCACTATGTAAAATACTTATAACCACTCAAGAACATTGTGTTCGTTCAAGTGTTGTAGCCTCGAGATAACGTTTAACAGCCAATGTGTTAGTGTTATTCGTAAGTAATTGATTTTTGCACATGGTTTACCACATGACTTTTTTTGTCATAGATAAGACATGTCAATCAACGAGGCATATGTGAATGACAGAGGCGAAGATCGTAATGTTCACTTTGCAAAGCATGATAACGGGAATGAATTGGTAAGTTTTTTATGTTGTGTACATTTATTATTTTCTGCTTTTCTACTGTTTGGAAACATTTTGATAAATATTCAAATTCCATGAAGTCTTTTAAATGCCCATACTAATGAAAATTGGTGAAAATCTTGATTTGTACATGATGTGTAGATTGTGGTACAGAATAGGACCGACCACCACATCTCAAAGATTATGAATTTATGGTATTACAGTACATGAATTTAAGTGTCATAAGTCAAATGTTTCTTTCAGTTTTTGTTATGTGCTGAACCAATAGAAAACCTGACTCATCTTGGCCACAGAATAGATGTTAACATAGACTTAATACTTTACTTACTTTTAATATTTTATTAAAATTTGACCCGGGAGCTGACAGGGTCAAAAATGGGCCTGGCTGTTTGTCTGCACGTTACTACTTGATTGTATAGGTTTGATTTTGTCGCTCTAAATCGCGCCGCTTTGCTTCCAATCGCTGTATGTGTGTTTCTACCCTTAGTTATAGCTGCTATTCTAGAGCAAGGAGCCTTAGCTTAGTAGTCAGTACTTTGTTTGTGCTTAGTAGATACATTTTTTTTCTGTTAGTTACCACCATTATTTTGATTCAAAATAGTGTGGAGGTTGTAAGTAATCATTACCAGGAGTGTTCAAAGGACTCACCTCAGGTGTCAACTGCCATTTAAATATAAGTTTATTTGAAATACCCAAAATGAAACTGCTTCTATAATGTATAATGTATTCTATAATGTAGACTAAGTAAAACTCATAGTCACAGGGCAGTTTAAGCTGTCCTTCATCTGTTCTTTCCCTTCACCATGTGTCAAACTTTCTATTTTTGTCTTTTTTTCTTGAGAACTACTGGTGGTAATGACTAGATGACTTTTTCACTGTCCAAAAACTTGCCAAAATTACTAATTCTCCGAGATATTTATTTAAAAATATCTAATTGTGCGATTGTTTTGTCTCCAGTCTTCACAATAACAATTTAAGTCTCAAGAAAGAACATTAATGATTACCATAAATTGTTGCATTTAATATCATTACTGCATGTAATATCTAAGGTGAAATAATTGTTAAAATTAAAAACAGTCACAATGCAATATATTCTTTGTTTTCCAAAAGTTCAAAGTGGCTTACCTTGAAAAATGTAGGTTCATGTTAATTTTCAAGGTGATATTGAAATACTTTTTGTGGTGTCTTCAACATTCCAAAATGTGACCATTTCCAAGGTTAACTTGTTTGAGGAGAACTTATATCAATACTAATTTTACTTGCATGTGTAAAACTCTTATCAACACTAATTTTACTTGCGTGGAAAGCTCATTATGCATTTTATGTATTCTGGCTACAAAGTAGGAACTCGTTTACACGACTCTCAATCAACCGACAACCTCGATTACAAGTGTAACAAGTGTACCCCCTTGAAAAAGACATAACATCCAATTGTAAATTAACCTCTATAATATAACTGTTTTTCTATTAAAACAATCTGAATAAGTTGCTTTTTTTCAAATCATGAGGCAACTCAGAACCTCTATGACAAGTCATTTTGAGAATTCAACCTTGATAACACACGCTACATATCTATATGAAACAGTTCCCACAGGAATTTTCCAGAACCTATGTTTTTTTGGAAAACAATGTCAATTCAGACTAGAACAAGTAAAAAACCTATACTCCACGCGCAACCAACTCCCGTTTTTCAGAATATTACTTATCTTCATGACAACAGTAGTGGGTCTATTCATTGCGGTCTAAGTCTTTGTATTACTGATTATCCTTGTTTTATCTAGGTCCAGTATCTTGTTGTTTATGCTTGTGAGCTATGGATGTTTTGTTTTGTGCATTTGTTGTGTGGTTAATTAATCCAAAAAAAGAAAGCAGAAATTTCTAGGGAATTTGACGTAATTTTATAAGTTTGAATTTTAACATATCATTTTTTACATCAACTACATTACATACAATTTTGAATGAAAAAGAAAAGTTTGAAGAGGAAAAAAATCGTAGGTAATTTGGTACAAACTTGTAAAAAAGGTGAATTTCAAGATGTGGAAGAATGTTTAGTTACATGGCTGAAACAATGCATTTTGAAAAATTAAACTAGTGTTTATTATTACACTTAGCCTACATTTTATTTTAATAACCTATTCCAATTTCTTAAGGTACATTTCCTATGCAGCGACTGATACTACATAGCCGTGCTGCTATCACAAGTGACTGCTGCTGCTACTATGCAAAGTAAATGTAACCCATTCCTATAGAGCAGCTGTAGCAAATTTATAGTGTTCTATACTGAGTTTGAGGTGTGTGCCTTCATTGATGATTCAATGTTAATTGAACTGGTTCGTCACCACCCAATACAAGGATGCACTTCTAAATCACTTCTGATTAACTATAAAATTAATTAAACTTGTTTAATATTAACACAGAAAAACTGAAGACTGAAGCACTGGATAAAGTTTGCAACAAAATGTTGTTGTTTACGGTGGCACATTCCTGACAAAGCTTTATGGCATTTTTACAAACTGATGTCAAATAACTGTTTGATTTAAACATAATCCTTGTTAATGTGGTCCGGTTGAACAAGAGTTTGCTGTGTTTAAAAATATCGCTTTTCGGTGGCTATGTTTGGTTTATATTTATTTCTCCATTAGCTTCAAGGACTTTCCTCACTGTGTTTGGTTTGTTTCCTCAAGTGATAAGTAATCACCATATTAAGAATTTCTTGTGAAACTAACCTTGGCATTTTGTCAGCAGAATGGTTTGATGCCTATGTATTAATTAGGTTATGATATCAACTAAATTGTAATTCCATTATTCAATTGTTTGTTTTATCAAACAACATATTTTACAAAGCTTATTAGATCTTATTAGCAGTACTGTATCTAAATCCAAAATTATCAGAAACTAAAACACTACTCTAAACATACTAAAATTATAGTGACTAATTGAGATGACACATGAGAATGCAGCAACCCATATTAACAAACACTTTCCTTTTGATTGACTCATACTTCTTTTTAAGCCAACCCATTATCCTGATGAGGTCATACATTAGAGATTTCTCCTCATTGCTTGATTTATTTGTCACCTATGACTCAGGCACCTGTACGTTTAGTGAACGTGAGAATAAAAGAATGGTCAGATGGATGACTTCATAGCTGATAAGAATCAGCTGATTACTCCATCATAAACAAATTTTCACGACCAAATACAGCTGTCTCCATGTTAAAAACCTTATTGCAAAAGTGTACAACATTTCTTAGAATTCAGAAAATTATGCCAGTGATCATCATAATAGAAATATGTGTTGGAATTTACTAATTTATTTCTTTAGCTGTTCTTGAAATATTCATTGAGACAAATATGCTAAGTTCAAGAAACAAACTTTGCAGAAATAAAGTAAAATGTTGATTTTATTGTTTATGTATTTTTCCTGTTTTCAGGTAGGACCTCATCATTTTGAAATGCAACACAATACTTTGGATAAAATGCAGAAGACAAAAGAAGAAGATGAATTGCTAAAGGAGGAATCTGTAAGTGTAAATGTATATTTATATAGACAATTTACTTTCAAATCATACATATTTTCAAGTATATTTTATGTGAAAGAATAATGCAAAAATGTAGATATAAAATTTAACCTTATTCAAATTTAGACAAATTAAATAAAGTTAAATTACAGCAAAAGTTATTCCTCAGATATTTGGAGTAAACAGTATCCTCAGTTAAGATTTTTTTAAAGATTTGTCTCAAGTTTTGATTGGAGAGTGATACTTTAATTTCACGATAGCAAACAAATATTTTTTCCAAGAATGTCTAGCAATTGAACATTTATTGTTTAAGATATTCTTTGGATTATTTTTTTTATGACAAAATGGTGGCTTAGCTATGGAAAAACTAAGATGAAATTAAAATACATATTCTGCATGGTTCATATACTCAATTTTATAAATTCTTTAATCTATAAGTATAAAAGAGGATGTTTGTATATATATATATATATATTTGGCAGTGATAAACTCAGACACCGCTGAACCGATTGCCACGAAACTTGGTACATACGTGTAGAATTTCATGGAATAGGAATGGAATACACCATCAATTTCGTGATCCGTCCAATCGGCTCCGCCCCAGTGGCTCTGGAGTTTCCCATGTTAACCTTATGAGAAATGGAATTAATGAATCTTAACAGCTGTTTCAATTAAACAAGTTGGTTCTGTTCTATGATGTTCAATAGCATTAAAGTTACAAGGATTACCAACAGGGTGCAGCACTCTCTTTTACATTTATGACAACCAAAATTTGCAACCAAAAGGTGAGTGAGCGTAGCGAAGGAACTTCAGGCGAGTTAGCGTAGTGAACGAGCTCCAACCTAAAGGTGAGTGAGCGTAGCGAACGAGCTCCAACCTAAAGGTGAGTGAGCGTAGCGAACGAACTTCAACCAGGACGTGATTGAGCCATGCGAACCAGATCATCTTGAAAATTAAGAAGTTAAACGGGGCAAAGCCCGCGGGTTACAGCTAGTATAATATATAGAGCATGGCTTCTTGTACTTATGTATCCTTGTTTATTTTTCAGAGAAACTTTATAGCTGTGGGATTGCAGAGGTTTTGGACAGAATGGGATTGTTTTGTTGTAAATCATAGGAGTTTTATCAAAGGGTTTAGCCTGTTGATTGTGATAGTAGCAATAATTTTATACATTGCTGCAGTTATTTACCAGTTTCTGAAACAAGGTAAGATTTCCATATAGATTGTTTGACACTTTTGGTAATCATAGGTGAATTTTAATACACATCATAAGCTACAGTTAACTAATTTTAATAATTTGTATATTGGTGGTTGTGATTGAAGTATAGCCACAGGATAGCAGTAGGTTAAGAAGGGATTTTTGTAGTTCTGGCATTCAATATTTTTACTGTTATCAATTAGACAGGTAATATTTTACGTCAAAAATATTTTGCAAAATATTTATATTGCTAACCTAAAATATTGCCAGAATCAAATTGTAATGATTTGCAACACTGTAGAGAGGGCTGTATAATGATGGTTGTTTTATTTTGTAGATCATCTTGTACTCTTGACAAAATGGTACACCCCCTATCACTGTTAAAATTACGGTTCAAAATGTACTGTAAATGATGAGATTTCCCTATAAACACCCATGTAATAGCGTAAAAATCACATTCCGTTATAAAAAAGAGGGCACAACTGTGTATAAAAAATTTAAGTTTGAGGCGGTATATTAATTTTCTTAATATTATACTTCTGGGAATATAGAATCAGTTTTTGATTGTGATATTTGCCTAAAGAACCTCTATATTTTGTATTTATAAAATTGAAATTCTACTTGTGAGATATGCAGTCTTGGTGGCATCATTACATACCTGATTAGTGGCGTTTTTGTAGACCAGCCTGTTCTTCGTTATCTAGACCCACCTGATTTCTACCTTCATTTATCAATGCAAGCTATCATTATCTCAATTGAATTAATATATTCTAATTTATTTTAAAAAGGACATACGTTTGTAATATGTATAGGTAGTGTGACAATTTTGTAGAGCATTTTGTTTTTGCCTATTTTTTTTCTTACTTGCTAAAATAATTTAACTCAAATGTTTGTCATTGGAAGTTGGAATTCATTGCGTTGGTTTGTCATTCAATTTTCTATAGGCCCTAAATAAAGTGTTTATAGTCGTGAAAACTTTATCGTGTAATATTTGAACCTGTAGTGTGAAAATGTGTAGCACTTTTGCTTTTCTTTCATTTTATTCTTACTAAAATAATTTTAGTATTTGTCAGGAGGAGGTAGATTATGTTATAGAAATTAAGCTTTTCAGTCTTGACAACTCTTATATTCTTAAACTTGAAATTTTGTGAATTTATATTTTGCTATAAAAAATTATATTTTTCAGATGAGGCAATTGAATGGTGTCAAGGCTATGGATTGGCATTCATTGTTCTTTTTATTTTTGTCTATGGATTCTCCTATTATCTTGTAATACAACCATACATTCTGCCATCTTTCTCAGGAGTGTTTCACAGCAAGCCTGTAGTAGTCACTTGGAGGTAGGTCATTCAGATTTGTTATAACATATATAATAGCCTACAGTGAATGCCTTTTTTAAGTTGCTGCCATATTAGCTAAGATAAGACAAGAAATATACACAGAATACCTGTGACAGTTCAGCAAGAAACAAATGAAATAAAATACAATAAATCATAAAATAAGACCCCTTCATAAAGCAAAATCTAGGGCACAGAGGCATTAAATTCTTGCCACACTTGCATTGTGCTGGGCATGTTTTAGCTGTAAAATGGGGCAAACCTGACTAGCTTCTGCCTTATTCTACCCCATTTTACATCTAAAAATCGTAATATTTCAGCTATTTCTTATTTGATCTTTTTGAACTTGGTATCGTTTGATAGAAAATTAAAAATACAAAATAAAAATATTCTAGACGTTTGTTCATAAAATCAGCCTTTTTTTAGTAATTTAAGTTTAAAAAATTAAAATGGCCGCCATTTTGAAATTTTAAGTTGAATCAAGATGAAATTTATTTTCTATCATGGGTCTCTTTTATCTTAACATACATATCAAGTTTTATAAAGATCAGTTAAAAAAGTCCAAAGATAAAAATGTTTATGTAAAAAATACAAAATGGTGGATATCTGGTTAACGAAGCGATTTTGAAAAAAATGCTATACTTTATTTTCTCTTTATTTTGGCCCAGGGAATCACTAGGTAGGTAAAATATGTCCCCACCTTTTTTGAACACCCTGTATAAATGTGTGAAGTATATATTTTTTAAGTTATTCACATGAGACCCTATTTTTGAGGCATTAGAAACACTTTTGATATTCATAAACTGGTGAATAAAACAATTAGTGTTTCTATGATAAACCTCTGGGATTTAACTGTTTGGATATTTCATTGTTTTGTATCTTTTACCTGTAGTGTTTCTCTAGGAAGATTCGACCAGTATTGGCTGTTGTTCTGATAGCTGTGTTCGGAGCATTCCTGATCTGGGATACCTCAGGGGAACGTAGAAGACTTGTCTCAATAGCAGGGCTGATCATGTTCATCCTTTTAGGATTCATTTTCTCAAAACATCCCACTAGGGTAAGTTAACATTTAGACTTACATTCAGTGCTTAGGAAAAGAGCAATCGTCGTAGGAATTTCTCTACCGTACTGCACAGTTACCTAAGTTTTAGCAAAGTTACCTTACTTAAAAGTGAAATACTTATCCTTTGATAAGCAGGGTTTTTATTAGTTGTTTTACTTGTGAATCATTTTATCACAAGTTTTGCATCAGTTGCTTGTGAGCATCAGTTATGTTTATCCTGTTATTTATATGCTTCATTCTAGAAATAGAAAAAAAAGTGAATACGTCTGAAAAAGTGATAAATATAGCGTTTGAAAAATGTTAGACCTACATAAAACCTCGAGGTTTTATGTAGGTCTAACATTTTTCACCAACCACTACATTTTTATGAAGGCCACCACCAAACACCATAATTTTTCACTGTGATTTTGGTTGGTTGCCGTTGAATTTATTTTAGTTGTAGACTTTTTTTCATATATTTTTGTAGATCTATGATACTAATCAGTTATCTTTAAAAACTTACTGGGTGGTCTGTCAGGTTTCATTTTTAAAATAATTGTTTGAAAACAAATTAATATGAATGTAAAGGTCTAATCAAAAAGCTATTTAATAAATTAATCAACTAAAAAGGATTCAACCTTCCATTACCAAGCAAAGATGTAAAAAAAAAAACAAACAAAAACTGATGTTCATCAGTTTGATTTAAAAAAAACTTCCAATCTGTTCAAAAGCGTGCATAACTTTTCTTATTATATTATTATAATCATGCTATTATTCAATGACTTTGACTTACTTTGGTTATTAATCTGTGAGAGATACAGTCTCAAGTTTGTGGTTCTGAAATTCCTTCATGTAACATATTTATATTAGTATGAAAAAGGCAAGAATAGATAGTTTTTTTTGCACTAAAACTTTGGAAAACATTTTTGCATATTGATCTTTTTTCTGTTTCTAGGTTAAATGGAGAACAGTTTTTATGGGAATACTTATACAGTTTCTTGTTGGGCTTTTTGCTATAAGATGGAGTGTTGGAAGGCAAATTTTCAGGTGCATTGGAATCCAAACTGAACACTTTTTGGAATACGCCTATGTTGGAGCCTCATTTGTATATGGAGACCTACTCGTTAAAAAGGAAGCAGTTTTTGCTTTTGAGGTAAACAATATATTCATAAACCTTGCCGTAATATTTTATCCAAATTAAACTTGGACTTTGTCGTTAATCAAACGTAAAAGTCTACTGCAAAATCCATCCAGTATTCCCTCATTGGTATAGACTATAGACTTTGTTTCATCCAAACCATTATCGACAGCAGTTAATAAAATTGTCATAACAGTACAGTATGGAATAGGCCCGTATAAAGTATACAGTTTTTTGCATAGTTTAGTAGCAATCGTCACTGCCTACAAGGTAAGGAACGGCACAACTTTCAGATTTATGTTGCAACAGTTAACTTAACATTGTCATTGCAAGGAATTTTCCTGCCTTGAAGGAGTTTTCCTATTTTTTGGTAATATTCAGGCTGTGTGTTGAAACCTCTCATCATTGTGGGGCAGGCTGTTAATCACCCTCTTAGGCCCCCCATACACGTAACGATCGGCCGGCCGGCCCGGCCTGAACAGTCCACGCCGGCCGGCCGATCGTTACGTGTATGGGGTCATTGTCCGGCCGCCGGACGACCAAATTGGCCGGACGACGACTGATGGGATTCCCATCAGTCGTCGTCCGGCCAACCCCTGCCTTCAGGCCGATCGTTACGTGTATGGGGTCGCCGGCAGGCCGTCGGAAGGCCGACAGTACAGTAGTAGCATTATTTTTTTTATTTACGTTCATTTTTAAGGTCAGGCACGGTCATTGACATAACCTAACTTTATTTTCTGATCAGTCTTTGTACTAATATGGCTACGTGGACTAATCAGCATGTGCTAGCCTTTATAGGAGAATACAGAAAGCATGAATGTCGGCGGAGGGTCAAAACAAAGGCATACCACAACAGGGACTTAAAAGATCCAGCTTATAGCAAGTTAACAAAAACGTTTTTGTCGTACGAAAACTGACTGCACACTTGCCACTAGGCGGAGAAATTTCAGTCCGGCCGGCAGGCGAATCGTTGCGTGTATGGGGACACTCCTTACACAGTTTGGCCATCCGGCCCTCGCCGGCCGGCCGATCGTTACGTGTATGGGGGGCCTTACAGTCTAATGTCAGTTCAAATTGTCAAGACAATTTGAAACATCCATGTCCACCTTAAACTAGTTCTATGACTTAAAAGTAGGCTACCACTAAGTAGTTCCAGTAATTATTTTAAAGTGCAGTCATTATGGTCCAAGAATATTATTCAAGATAGTTGACGGTTTCTGTACTAAACTCATATAACTTCTTAGCGCAATATAGTTCTAAAGATTGTCTTTCAAAATTAGAGAATCCTTTTTGAGGTACAATGTTTAGCCATTTTTGTTAAGTTATCAATTAATTGTGCTTGGATAAATAGTTATCTTGTATATATAGATTGCCAATATCTGCCATTGAAGCGTGGTAGAAGCGATAGTTATGTAAGTTTCTTAATATATATATATATAATGTATATATACAGGTTGGTAAAAAGTGTGGAGACCCCCTGTTATTTTTTTAACGGCCCATACTAGAAAAACTAAACTCGGCACACCTTTATGGCATGTTATGAAGTACTTTTTGGGCATAACCGCCACTTGGTGTACATCCCCAAATGGTCCCCCATTTTGAAAGTCCTGGTAAAAGAAAACCAACAACGCAAATTAGAGGTCTTTATCTCAATCCAGTAAAAAATGGCAGCCAATTGAAATTCTCAGAAGTTAAATTTAACTTACAGCTTCCCAAGTCTGGAGACCCCCTGTAAATTTTGTAACGGCTCACACTAGAAAAACTAAACTCTACACTCCTTTTTGGCATGTTATGTAGTACTTTTTAAGCCTAATAGCCACTTGGTTCCCAAACCAAAAATGGGGGATTTTGGGGGAAACTCAAAAATTTTAAATATTAAGCTCCAGCGAGTGACCCCTCATTTTGAAGGTCATAATAAAAGAAAATTAATCACTCAATGGGTCTTTGTATTTGAAATTTTTGAGTTTTCCCCAAAATCCCCCATTTTGGGGATGTACACCAAGTGGCGGTTATGCCCAAAAAGTACTTCATAACATGCCATAAAGGTGTGCCGAGTTTAGTTTTTCCACTATGGGCCGTTAAAAAAATAACAGGGGGTCTCCACACTTTTTACTAACCCTCTATATATATACTGTAATATATCTTAAGAATATTAATATCCGTTGTAACTATGATTTCCTTGTACATCACGCCACTGTGATCGTATGATTTTCAATAAACCTCATTGGCTATAAACATCACCTGATCCCCTCTCCACCTACATCACACCACCGTCCATGTCCGTCCGTCCCTTCAACAGCCTAGTCTACCTCCAAAAGTCTAACCTTAACCACCTGTTTGTGGCTGTGTTTTAAACATGCAAAACTCTTGTATTTATTCAGTCCACTTCCAAAGTCCATTCAACCCACGAACACAACATATACATGTATAGGATATGTGCGTAGGATAACAGACGGAAACATGTCATCTTATACCATTTTAATATTCAAGAAGTGATCCTGGACCAAAGAACATCAATATGATGTAAGTTTCTCTATTTCAGGCTCTGTCAGCCATCTTCTTTGTCAGCATGATCGTTCAAGTACTGTTCTATCTGGGCTGGATGCAGGTAATTTGCCTCAAGTTGGGATGGTTCATGCAGTTCATGCTGGGCACTACAGTGATGGAGTCTGTCAACGCTGTGTCCAGTGTATTCCTTGGAATGGTTAGTCTAGTAACATATATTGTAAATAAATCTCTTCCTGATCCAATCACGGTAACATACTTTCTTGTTCTAACAGGAATCCGTTGAGAAGTGCTCATCAAAATGTATTGTTAACCATAGATCTTGAAAAATCCCAGTTGGATAAAATCAATATCTTTTAGCTTCTATATGGATATGAAACGTTCTTGTTTTATCATATCACAAATCACAATTGGAAGTGGTAAGGTCTAATAGCATTGATAAAGTAGAATTTTGATCTAATTAACAACTAACTAATTATAATACCAACAAATTATCAAACCAATTAATGATATAATAAATTACATAAAGTTACTTCTGTTCCAGACTGAAGCACCATTGCTGTATAAGCCTTATATTAAGGACTTAACAAGGTCTGAAATGCATGCAGTTATGGCTGGTGGATTTTCAACTATTGCTGGTAACATTTGTTTCATTTTCACCATTCACATTGAGATAGTTATGGTATTTGAAAGGTCTGAAAAGTGTTAGAACTCAGCTAGCTTACCTAGGAAAGAGAGTTCACTGGCTTAATCAATATACAATAAAAGTCACAAAACATAATACAGTACTGATATTTTGTGATAAGACCTCTTGAGAGAGTAGGTTGGAGGGAAATGCATTACCCAACACTAGTATGTTTAACAACCTAGATGTCTCAATTAGTTTTGCATGTTTGTAAAGATGGCTTTAGCCAGGATTTTAGAGGATTTTGTGATGGATAGGCTTAACGGGATGTTTACCCTTACTGAAAAAATAAATTAAAATGCACAAATAAACACATAACACTTAGAATTGTTTAAGCTACTATAGCTACTTCTTCAATCGTAGAATCTTTCTATGTGTCTATGGTTTTTGGTCAATGGTCACTATCAATAAATCACTTCTGAATTATATTACACAAATTAATCTGTATTCACAAAAGCCTACTGTTTTTGTGGATTATGATTATGGTATTTGAAGTGTAGGTCGTCAGGGGGGGTTCTCTGGATTTGTTACTCACTGGAAGGAAAGATCTCTTATCCTCTCAATTCTGATGAGTTGCAAGTTGGGGAAACGGCTTTCATGACATAAGTAGTGAAGCAGCTATTGAATGATTTATAAGACATAAAATAGTATACAGTTCACAATAAGTTGTATAATCCTGTTTAGCTTGGTTAAATAGTTGGTATGCAACACAAATCAGTAATTCACACCAACACACTCTGTGAAAAGCACTATTTTACTACCATTTTCATTCTGTAGTGGCCAATGTTTAACATGGGGTACCACTCTCTAGTGAAAGGTTGTACATCAATTTATTTTTGTTCCTGCTTTGTGGAATGAAATCAGAATTACATAACAACTTCTTCCCCAGGCACCGTGTTTGCCGCTTTTACCTCATTTGGTGTGGAGCCGTCAAACATCATCACAGCGTCCATCATGACTGCCCCAGCCGCCCTGTGTTACGCCAAACTTGTCTATCCGGAGAGTGTCAAGTCTAAAACTGACTCTAAAACAGTACGAATCTATGAAAGGTAAAACCATTACTACATGCATACTGTACTACTTTGCATTTTCAACATATTGACAGACTGCATATAGAGAGGGACCCACTAACACTGTCCAATAAATCTATGTAGTTGTCCCTGGGTGGTTTAGTTTGTGTTATTAATGTTTCACTTGCTAAAATCAGCTGTTAATTTTTGATTGTCCTGAACTATTGAATCCTGAAGTAGACATTCCATCTATATGGACCAACTGTAGCCAAATGTTTAAAAGAACATAGATGTGTGAGCCAGTCACATTCGTACTAGTGTCTAAAATTCTATTTTCTACCTTATTTTTTGTTGATGACCTAGTTGATGGGTCATAACAGTTGCTATAGCTCACAATAAGTCATTAAATTATTTTAGAATTCATTACTCCATGGACTTAATTTTCACGATTTGAGGCTCACTCCGATGCCTCACACCCCACGGGAACTGGACTTAACACTGCTAGTTTTTAAAGGTATTTTTGAATCAATTTCCCTAGAACCCCCCCATTTACAGGTGGGCATTACATCCCTCCTGACACCCCACTTTTGCCCCCACCCACAAAATGGTAATAATCAGCCACTGTAACTGATGACCTGTTTTAATTCAACTATTAATAATTATCAATCAAAGAGTTACTTTTTTTCAAGAACCATCACTAACCAAAAACTTAGTTTACAAAACTTCTAACCAAAGAACTATTTTATTTTAACAACCGTCTGAGAAAGCATTTTGTTTCATCATCAATCTGATTAACCGAGCAGGCATTTTGTAGTGAGGACAAGAGTGTGATGGACGCTGTGATACAGGGGGCGTTTGTGGGGATTGGAATGGTTCAAGGCATCATCGCAACAATCATCGCATGTGTATCCTTCGTAGCTTGCTTCAACGACTTCCTAGCTTGGCTCGGCCTGCTTGCGGGAGTTCCAGACTTCACTCTTGAAGTGAGTTAAGCTATAGATTGCAATTATACAAGCTGGATTTCCAAGTAATAAATCCACTATCTATGGTTCTGGCACAACAAATTTCCTTTTAAACGAACCTGATACCAATAGTCAAGAACAAAACACGTTTGGAATAATTTTATAATTTTAAGTGAAGTTTGGGCTGTGTAAAACCTAGCAAAAAGCTTTATTTTAAACATTTAACATTAACTTTTTGTGGAGGAGGGCCTTTTCCTCCAACTCTAGGAACAAGATACTGTTTTGCTTCCCCTGAAGAAAATTCCTGAGTCCATGATTGATTTGCAGTAATATAAACATTTTTTATCAATTCACATCATTAGACGTCAATACACAATTTTGATTTGTTTTATTGATTTATGGTTCTAATGATGTAGGGAATGATAGTTTTGGATTGTGACGATAGATACAGTAGTAGTGACGTATTTAATTAATTCTAAATGTCTAGTAAAGTATTTAGAACAGAAAAGACACAGTTTTAAGACCTCTGCTTGAACCAAAAGTAATTTTTACCACTGTGATTACCACTGTGACCTTTAATATTCAAAGCTCTCGAATATTTGTAAAACCATTCAAGTTTTACCTTGTTTTTGTTTGCAACCAGACAATCTTCTCATACCTCCTGTACCCTGTGGTGTGGATGATGGGTGTGGAGCCTTCCCAGTGTCTTACAGTCTCTCGGCTGATCGGCATCAAGATCACTGTCAATGAGTTTGTGGCTTATGTCAAACTGGGAGAGATAAAGAAGACTGGAGCAATATCCGTGAGTATATGGCTGCAGTGTTTATCAAATTGCATGCCTGATTCACTGTCTGTTTTGAGTTTAACAGTTAAAATCTTTTATGCTAAATGCATACGTGACTAACATTACCTTGTTATTCCAATGCAAATGGTTGTAGCAATCAGAGCAGGAGAAGGGTGCAGCCTCACAGATCCTCTTTTTCTATTGTGGTGTCAAGTAAACAAATCACAACCGCAGAACTTCAGTGTGATGTTGCTCTACTCACAGAAGTTGCAGCAGTTTTTTAAGCATTATCATAGTGGTTGCCATAGTTGCAGAAAATTATCGAGTTACTGCTACAACCCCAAAAGATAGTCAGGAATGTTGCCAAAAAATTGTAAAAAATCATTATGGTTGTAGTCACCCTCATGGGAAGAACATTACAAATGGACTTGCCATTGGAAAATCATCACAAAAGTGTCGATTTGGGAAACTATTTAATATGTTATTTCGATGTTGATTGGGGATGGGAATGTTGCTGCTATCAAGGTGTTGACAGTTTGTGAATTAGTCTGAACTGATTATAAAACAAAGTAAGTAACGAACAACCAATCTTATGTTCTATGATATTGAAATGAAATTAAAAATTCTTTATTTTACCAGGCAAAGTTAGGGCCCCAAGGCTCTTTCTTACACTTAACCTGACAAACAGATATCAACAAACTGATTGTGTTTTATCAAAATTGAACTTGAATTTGATATCTGAGACTAGTATTGAAACAGTTTTACTTGTTAAAGTAAAACACACATTACTACACAAAAGACACTAATAAAGTTGTTAAAGGGGCTGTTCACCCTAGTACGTTCTAGTTTATAGCTAACCTATTTTATAAAAATATATGAAAAAATAACAAATACCCACCAAGTCTGGTAAATAAATATCATTCTTAGTTTTATAATTAGCTCAGAAAAAATCATGGTATGAGCAACAGTATGGGGATTATGAATGGGAGTGAGTATGAATTAATTCTTACAATTCACTTTAAAATTTGTTTGTGTTGGTATATTCATACTATTTTTTTAGCGATAAGGAGCCCTATTATATATAGCGGAGTCTATTCATTGTCTTGTAATTGTTCTAGCCACCCACAGAATTTCGCCTCATGCAGGATCAGTGTTTGTGGCATATTCCAAAACATGTTTAAGCTGGTAGTAGACTGCTCCATGTATCTACTCAATGGGGACACAACATAAAACTGAACCAACCATATGTTTCAGCCTCGAACAGAAGCCATTGCCACGTTTGCTCTGTGCAGTTTCGCCAACCCTGGATCACTTGGTATCCTCATCTCCACTCTGACAACTCTCTGTCCTTCCCAGAGGTTTAACATCCTGGCTGTAGCCATCAGAGCATTTATATCAGCCATTGTCATCTCGTTCCTGACTGCATGCATTGCAGGTAACAAACTTTGTAATTTCATAATCTAGCACTGTAGATTTTGAAAGTCAATTGTTAAACCATTTACTTTTGGATACTGAAGTATCTGTGGCTTAACTCAACTCCATTGAGGTTCAAAAACTGGTGGCAGCTTTAACATGGGGATGGAATGTCTACACAAGGGGCCACGAGAGTCTGCAGTTGGCGGCAGCCAATAGCAAGACTGGACTAGCGGGACGTTGTAACATCCCCCGTTCACTAATTTTTGTCACTAATTAAAATATACTAAACAATATTTTCAAATCAGCTGGTCTTCACGGTCCTCATTGGCACCTTCGAAGTCGCGTGGTAAATAGGCTCCTCCCTCAACTGCAGACTCTCGTGGACCGTACTGTAGTTCTATAAACATATATAGCCATGGTGTTTATGTTAAAAGTTATTTTTTTCCTAGGTGTTGTTTTTTTTATAAACGGTAAAGGGTCAACTGTAGGTATTGTGATTTACACAAAAATGGGCCTAAAGTGAGACATCTTTATTGGAACCTGCACATGTATTTTAGTATAGGAGTTAAATACAAAAGTGTGTATTTTGATCATAATATAGTTGACCCTACTATGTTTCTAATAAATACGGTCCAACGTTAAAAGATTTGGTCACAGATGCTGCATTTTTTAGTAGAAGAAACATATAGATTAGAATACATTCAAATTCAAATATTGCCTTTGTTTATTCAATTATTAACTAGTTGATTTTATGTTAAGCCCCCCATACACTATCTAACATGTTGGACGGACATGTCGGGATCCGACGTCTTGTCGAACATATTGGACAGTGTGTGGGTTCCAACCCGACATGCTCGACGGATATGTCAGGTCGGATGCTCGGTCCGATAGCAGCACCCGACTCGAGCCGTCCGCCTGACATGTTGGACCGTGTGTGGGACACCGTTGAACTGCTCGCCCGACTAGCCACAGTTTCCAGTTAACTTGTGTTTAGCGAGTTGTGCGTGATAACCGTCCCATTTTCCATAATGTCATTTAATGATAATAAACAGTTCTGGTCAGAATTTATTTAACTCTACAGAGACCAGAAGGCGTTGTGGGATGTCAAAAGTAAACTCTATTGCAACAAGCATGCGCGTAAAGAGGAGCACGATATCCTGATGGAAAAGTGCAAGGAACTGTATCCAGAGTGTGATTTAAAGTTCGTTAAAAATAAAATTGAAAATTTAAGAGCCTCGTTCCGTAGGCTCTAAAAATCCCTAAATTCATCGCTAAAAATCCCCCCACAAACAGCTAGGTATAGTCGTTTGAAATCTAGCTATCTCAGAACAAATATTTCACCTGACTTGTTGGGTAACATGCTCGACAGTGTGTGAGAAACACCCAACATAAGTCAGGTTGGATGATGGGTCCGTCGTCAGGTCAGGTTGTCAGGTCGGGTGGTATGTTCGATAGTGTGTGGTGGGCTTTACATTGCTCTTTTAGAAGGTTATGTAAATTATACTGAGGCTACTTTTTTTAGATTAGTTTATAACTTGTTTGTTTGGATATAAATATGATTAGTGAACAGTCATTAATTTTGAACATTTTGCTTTCAGGTGCCTTAATGCCTGAAAATGGATTTTCAGCGTAAGTTTCTCGCAAAATATCAGTTCCTAAACAACTAACTAATAAACAAAAAAACTTAAAACTTAAAAATCTAACATCAAGTCAAGTTAATTAGTTTAGTGCCATATCAGTCATTTAAAGTACTTAATCTTTATGCTTTGTTACTTAATTTATTGTGTTTGGTTTTGTAAACCAATAAATTAAAATATATTTTTAGTTAATTTAACCTTGGATTATCAAGAATCCAAACAAATAACTCTTGGTGAATGAATACATAGGTACTGAATTGTTTTGTGGACAAAATATTTATTGGTGCAAAATGAGAAATAATGTAAATTTAACGCACCCTGACACACTAAAATGGCGACACTCCATTGTTAAGTTTACACAAATATCATGTTTTTCATTTTAAAAACAAATTAAATAGATTGTTTTTTGTTTTGTATGTTGTTATGTTAGTTCATGAGTTTAGTGATAGCTATTTTTACATATTTTAATTATTCTGAGTTGTAGTAGACTATGATGTAAAAATAACTTTTCTTAGAATATTTAATAATGGATGCAATAACCCATTTTGTAAATTCTACCATCATGCTTCGACTTTACCATTTAAACAATCAAAAGTATTTTTTTAGATTTAAGTCCTTAGTGCAATAATATATTTTTTTTAAAGTTTTTGAATTGCCATATTAAATATTATATTTATGAGTGTACTTAATTACAATTTATTGCATTTTTAACTAATTTTAAGCATTATAGCATATTTTAACTTAATGAGTAGTTTTGTAAATACAAGAAATGTATAGAGTGTACAGTATTACGAATTAAAACAGTATTATTGTTTTAGAAAGGATTATTATTATTTACCCTTGAAGATGACGTAATCGATTATCATAGTTTTACTAGTGCACCTGTTGCTCGAATTCAAGCAATTGCAAAGTATTACAGGTGTTATTTCAAAATGAATAACAGTCATAATTTATGATTATATACTTAAAAGAGTCAACTCAAAAGACCCAATCACTGAACTCCAGTTATCGAAACTGAAAACGAACTCTCTTGTGTGTATCATGTATTTACTATGAACAGCTGTTTTAGTAAGCAATTAATAAAAATTATTCGTCTCCGTCTGTTTAAGTAAACAAAATCTTTTCTTCATAAGAAATACATTGGGACTTTGATGGCCTGTGGGGCAAAGCCCGAGGACTTTTATAACAGGAATTGGTAAAAGGGGGGCGTTTACACAAAAAATACTTAATTTTAACCCATCGTTTGTAAAAATCCGTCCAATATTAATGTAGGAGTCTGGAGTAGTGTTTCATAGAATTAGCCTTCACGTTATATATAATGATTTACTTAGGCATGCATGTACTACGGTTTAAAAGTCATGTTTGCAATTTTTTTACCACATCATACAAAACCGTCAAAGAAAAAAAATTACTTTTTGATGTATACTGGTGCAATCATTTGCAGTCAAGTGATCCTTATGACATTAAAGTACACATATTGATCTGATTCGGAGGCTTAACTCAAACAAAATTACTGTTTGAGTTTATAATTAGTAATATGTACAGTACTCAGCCATCATTTGATTTTTTTCTGATTTTTATTAACCGTTTACACGGTATTTTCTTCTAATCGCCCCCTTATCATTATGCAGTTAGGCCTACTAAATTATTACTTCGTCATACTGCAGCAAAAAAAGCCATTTTAATACATGAGTTGCGAATTTGAAGTTACTTTCGGGACTCGGGAGTAAATTTTACTCTATAGGGAGTAAAAAAGCCTTTTTAGTCCCTTGGGGGTAAAAGTCAGCTGTTGTAAACTTTGATTGTAACCAATCACATGTATTGATATTATGTGTCAATTGATTCCATTGTTTGTAGTAGCTTATTGTTGCATTCTTCTCAATTATACACTTGTAACACAATTGTAATAGACGAAATGATTGAATCACTTACTAAAAAGCTACTTGTTTGCATTAGCAAAAATTAAAACAAATTGAAAGTCGTTTAGAGAGGTTATCATACATGTAAAGTAGTTTTTGCTTTCTAACTTTGTTTGTAAATAAGATTGCAATATAACAAAAAATAATGTTCCTCACACGGGCAAAAAGTGTCTTTTCAGCCCACGCTCGAGATCTCATTTTCCGACTTTGGCTTCGCCTTGGACATGAAACTTGAGTTTGGGACGAAAATAGTCACTTTACCAGTTATGAAATATACCATTAGAGACACTTATACAGGGTGATTGATATAAGTGTGCCAGCCGTTTTATTCGAAAACTATAAGAGATATCAAAAAAAGTTAAATGGTAAGTGCCTTGGATTTTTTATTAAAAAAATTGTAGTCAAGTCAAAAAAAATATTTTAGCCGCCATTTTTCCAATATGGCCGCCAACTTTGATTTTTCTTATGGAACACCCTGTATATTATGATATATTCTGGTAGGAAATGTAATTTTAAGACGATTTTATTCTTGTGATTTTTTTCATAAACCCAACCGTTTCAAAGATAATAATGGTTAAAGTTTTGAAATTTCTGCATGAGAAAGAGTTTCAATAAAGGCCTAAGCAAGCATGCCAGCTGTTTTATTCGAAAACCATTCAAAATGTCACAACTTAAAACCATTATTATCTTTGGTTATAGGTTTATGAAAAAAATTACAAGAATAAAATTGTCTTAAAATTACATTTTCTGCCAGAAACATCATAAAATACAGGGTGTTCCATAAGTTGGCAGCCATATTGGCAAAATGGCGGCTAAAATAATTTTTTCGACTTTACTACAATTTTTTAAATAAAAAGTCCAAGGCACTTCCCATTTAACTTTTTTTGATATCTCTTATGGTTTTTGAATAAAACGGCTGGCACACTTATATCAATCACCCTGTATAGTTCGGCCGCTTAGAAAACGACCTGAACGCTAATGCTAAACCAATGCTGGAGGAGGTAGCTTTCTAAGCAGCCGAAATATAGAATTCTTTGTTTCTTGACCCTTTTTAAAGCTTTCACAAAGTCTTCTTTCATGGAATCACGAGCTATGTTCAGAAGTTTACAAATTGTTTCAAGGTTTTCATTCTTTAGTGTGTCTATGTATCCCTTCACCAAAGTATGAAACTATAAAAATATTTGTGGTAATAATAAATCAATACAAGTTATTGGTCTATTGTCTGTGATTGTGTTAATAATTGTGTTCATCATCGCTAGTGTATATTGATGATTTTCTGAGTGTATTACAATGCATGTTGACGAATAAACTCAGGCCCTCTTTTAGATAGATGCGGCCCTCTCTACCTACTTTGTTGGGAATTTTTCCCTTTCTTGCCCTTTCTTTTTGGTTTGAGTAAGTAATGAAATCATTTCAAATCATTAACAATTGTATGTACAAAACTGAAAATTAGTCGTCAAAATACTGTATGCAACAGTTCCATCTAAGTTAGATACTGTACCTACTACCTGGTCAATGATTTTGTGAAACTCGTTAGGAGCATAAGTGATAGGTACCCATAAAGAGATGTCTTGCTTTGTATGTACCCATGGAGTAGAAACTTCAGCATAGTTTTGACTTTATTCTTCCTACTGTACATGTAAAAAAGCCTAATGCGGATCTAAAACACAGAAGCATTTTGATTTCCCCCCATTTAATTTATTTAAAAGGTCTTCTAATCTGGGAATAGGATATTGAGTATCTTTCAGTTGGGGTTCAGTCCCCAATGAACCCCTAAACCTCTTGCACACCTGGGTCAGAGCCCACTTATTAAAGTTGCTCTGAATGTCAATGCGACTGTGTACAGCTGCTCAACAATGATGCATATATTTTCTTTTATACCAATTCCAATCATAAACTGATATGAATGAAACAAGTTATTGTTAAGTGACTTGCATGTGATTTCTGTGACCTTGGGCACTTCCCGTTTCCAGTGTCAATTTTACATTGAAACAAAGACTCAATTATTTATAGGGTCATCAAATATTAATCAACACTTGACAATTGAAATTATATGTTTTACAAACAATAAATTATCTAAATCATTGTTGAGCTTTCTTTAGTAAAATTTATATTGAAGATTTGCTGAATGTAATAAAATTCATGTCAAATAAACTATATAAATACAAATACAACTGTGTATGCTGAAGTTCTCTGCATAAAAATCACAAACGTCTTATGTTCTTCTATTGTAATCAGCCTATTTCATTTTTTGCTTCTCATTTACCAATACTGATACAAATAAAAAAACTGTATCCTCTCTAATATTTTTTGCCAATAGATTGATTCTGAATGAGAAAGTATTTGTAACTTAATAACAGTTAGTTGTTAATTAATAACAACTGTTATTCTTGTTATTCGTTATATTGTAATTTGTTGCTTTGATAACTTTATACTAATGGAAAGAATATACTACTAATACTAATACTAATACTAATGGAATTGGATTTTGCATTACAGTATACAAATTTTCCTTTTTTAATAAAATCAAAATTAGGGGTATATTGTTCTCTTAAATCCTATTTGGTATGTACAAAAATTTCTCAGTAGTGACAACTGTAGGAGTTTAACGATTTTTTGTGATCTACATTTAAGTTTAGAGAAATAAAGACAAACGTATTGTTTATTGAATTTTGTATTTAATTTATATTTAAATTTGGCGTTACTATAATATATATTATACTAGCAGAGTACCCGTCCTTCGTACGGGGTTGCCATAAGTATAAAATGCTTATTGCAGTTATACTCAAGCTTTGAGTAAGTTGACAAAGTTTGATAAAATTTGCTTTTTTTAAATTGACGGTATACTATGGTATTACACATTTACCATAGCCATAATGTTCTACCTGTTCACCTAAACAATAAAGAAAAATAAAGTATTACAAATTTAAAAAATCACAAATTATTCATGACATTAAAAACATAAACATAACTGTAAACAATCCTACTTTGACAGTTCTCATTGCGTATCACAGTTGTTTGTTGCTGCTTAGTTCAAATTAGCTGATTACATAAATGCAAAAAAATATATAGTGCTGCACCCTGTTGGTAAATCTTATAACTTTTTAATGCTTTTGTATATCATAGAACCAACTTTTTTAGTTGAAACAGCTGACTAATTTCTTTAATTCCCTTTATATATGATTACAGTACTCATGAGGTCAACATGGGGAACTACAGAGCCACTGGGGCTGAGCCCGAAGGGATTTTTAAGATAAGAATATGCCTATATGTTAATCGGGAATGTGAGCTATCATCATGCCAAATTTCAGCCCAATCCATCCAGTGGTTTATGCACAGACAAACAAACAAACAAACAAACAAATAAACAAACAAACACACAAACGTTCACATTTACAATATTAGTAAGATTATCATCGATTGTAAGACAAATTACCAGTTATTATTTTTGAAAAACATTCTTCCTTCCCAAAAGTAAGTCATAAGTTTTAGAAAAAGTACCATTGAATAGATGATGACAAAATTATACTTAAATTATCTATTTAGTGTTAAGAGGTTTTCTCAAACAGATTTCCCCCATAAAAACCTTATAGTTAAACCCTCTGTACAGTGGTTTTACCCATGAAAGTACTTTAATAGGATGTTCTATTGTACTGTAGAGCTAGAGGAAGTATTTGTCAATTAGCTAATAAAATTTATTAATTTTTTTACTATTTTATTGATTTTATTGCTTCAACTCACTGTTTGGTTATTTCTATAGGTTTAATCAATTTATTTCCCTATTTCCTTTGATTAATAGTGTTTCAATAATGAAAGTTTTGGTATATACAAGATATGTAAATGTTTCAAGTTTGAACTGACAGTAAAGTTGACAAAATAAAATAAAATAACAATGAGAATAAGTTTTAAGATTTTCATCTTAAAAATTACAAATAAAGGATTTGGCAACAATTAGGCCACAATATGTAGCACATTTCACAAATCAGTATCTATTGGAGATAAAAGGGTTTAGTTTCCAAAATGGCAGCTACATGATTAGTTATCAGGTACATCAGTGACTGACCCATGATAACAGACATCAGCCATAGAGCCATTCCTCAGTTAGTCTGCAGTTGAGTCACTCAGCTCAGTTGGTCAGTGGTCACTATGGCGGCATACTCCTTACTTGTGCTCTTCATATTCATAGGCCTTGGTAAGTACAAAATGTCCTCTTTAATACACTAATCAGTTGTAGTTTGTATTATTTTAGTTGTTTTTTTGTTGTTTTTTTTTTATCAAAATACAACTACCTACTTCAGTGTCACATTACAGTAGCAGCTTAGATTAAGGTTATATTGTTTTTATTTTTGAGAATTTGTTTTGTACAAACACTAATTTAATTAAGTTTGTGTTTTCATTATAATAATCGTTGAAACGTGTGAATCGTGTTTTGGACGTGTAGGTAAATAAAGTTAACATTTAGATTATTATTAAAAGTTGGAAGTAATTTTGTAGGCATAATTAAATAATAAAAATTTAAAACTTACAAAACATTATTCATTTTTGTTAAAAATTGCATATACATTTGAAATATGTGCCATTTATTTAGTAAAAGCGGTCATAACCTGCTTCTTTAATTTAAGCCTATACAAAAAATAAATAAACACTAGTTAATCTATTTTGACACAATGCAATAAAAAGATTATCATGAAATATCTCCCTACACATACAGTAAATTATAAAAGAGTTAAAAGTTTAAACTACTTGTCTACATGACAACAAATTTGTTTTGACTCATCCAATATAACCATGTAAAATTTAGCAATAAATGAGATACATTAAAGTTAACAAAAATCATAGGTATGCAAAATAACAGAACAATCTAGTTGAAAATATTTAGCAATTTAGCCTAAGTTTTAAATACGGCATCAATTTTGTCTGACTAAAAAAAATCTGATATGAAATCAAACTTGACCACGTGCTAAACTGCACATTAAACTCCAAGGCAAGCACAAATACAAGTGTTTCAAAGTGAGTTATCACAAATAAAAGTTTGATAAGTAAAAGCTGACGCTGACGTGCCCAAGCTTATCAGTATCAAAGTTCAAATAAACACAAAAGTCATCGGAATGCATTGTTGCTGGCAGAACACACTTCGAGGAAATCAACAGTAAATGCTTGTATAAAATCCATTCACAAAACTAGTAAAGATTAGATGATCGGTATAAGGTACGACATCAATAAAAATATGGATTTTTAGATGTTTATTTATCGACTATGTCAAATTGTCCTAACAGATTACGATACACAATCTATTAATTGTTTCAGAATAATTAAGTTAAGATAAGTGATTAACTGAGTACGGTAGTAATCCTAAGCTTTGTTGTCATAACGTGACTATAAGAATGTCTTGGATATAAACGTATCATGAAAATGTAACATGGTTTATCCATGGAGCAAATATTAATTACGTTTTAAAATAATTATTTTGCTCCCAATTTTAATCTTTTAGCGTTCTACGCAGTCAATGAAAATAATATCCCTCTTTGATTGAGGGATAACTGGGACTGAAAGCAGAACCTAAAAAAGTAGATTATGAAAATAAAAGTAGATTGTGCAAATCCACCAAACCAGGTAGATTAACCTTGATGGTTATTGTTTCATACATTGTGTAAGTCATAAATGTGAAATTAATTGTATTATCATGTTGGAACAATAAATATTCCCTAAAATACCCTGTAAGGTTCAAACAGTGTTTAGTCAAAGTGAGGATCTGAAAAAAAGAAAATAGTCCTGCATTTAAAAAAAATGGAGACTGGAGAAGACATTAATTTTGTCAAAAACATATTGTTAGACATATTGTCAAAAACATGTTTAGTCATATTTTACCCAACATGTGTAGCCTACAGAATGTGTTAAAATCAAAAAGTTGTATTCTGCTTGAAGGGAAGAAAGGGATTGCGTAGGGAACATAATTATTTGTTCACTGCCCAGGTAGTTTAATAACTGCAATAATTTAATAATTACAAATTTAAAAACAAACTACCCAAAACAGTTTTCTCTAGAGAAATCGGTATTTCCACACAGCCTAACAAATCATTTCAGGGAAAGTCTTTCTACAACAGAGTTGTTGATAAGTTTCCTTTTCGTTATCAAAACAAGAGTAAACAATGAACGCTGCAGTAGATGTAGAAGGCTGTTGTTTGGCGGAAGTCGCAATTACTAGATCAATCTGGCAGTGGCAGTGGAATGAGTGGTGTACTTCCTCTCTTTCCCAGTTGGGGATATTAAACGTATTGTTTATGATTTGACAACAGCAAATATGATTCCAGTCATGATACCAGTTGATATGATAGTCCACTGCGCACCAAATGTTGTATGAAGTACAAAATAGCCATGCATAAACTTATAAAAACATGGAATACGGCGATAATGTATTGTAAAATCATTTTTATGAAATAATATCCATTCCATTGCGTACAATAAACCCAACTCCAACTCAGTTAGGCATTTCGTTTTCCTCGTCCAAAAAATGGGATGGATTCGCTAAACATCCAAATAAACTAACAAACAAAATAGGTTTGAATAATAGGGATTATTGAAGACAAACTCCCAAAATAACCGGATTCAAAATACTAATACATCAATACTTTTTTTATGTTTCAAATGCTAAATGCTACGGATTAAATCAGGCATATTCCAGTTTAAGCTTTCGTGTCAGTGTCAGATTTTGGCTAGGATTTTATTTATTGTAAATTGTGCGTTTATGCCACTAAAATTCGCGTAACTCGCATCCTACGGACCTGGCCAGTGGCCATTGAATATTTACAACAGTAAATCTAACTAAGGTATGATTTTAAAAAAATGCGTGGACAAAACCCAGTGATAACCTATAATTTCAAGAGCACTTTAATCAAAACATTGTTGAAAAGGTTCTGCTGCTCGGTTCATGCCACCTGACTTATTGTTTTGGAATTAATGTTTTCACTATTGTTAACTAATAAAAATTGAGGCTTGTTCAATGATTTAAAAAATAAGATTGTTAAAACTAGACAGGGATATTCGACTTCTAAACTAAGAAACTTACCAATTAATAATATATTTATTATGTTTAGGATCACACTGCCTTATGGCGCCAGGTATGTTAAAACAGTATTTGGTAAGATAATTAATTATACTATGCATCCAAGTAAGGGAATGCAATATAATACTGTACATGACAATACATAGTAATAGTAAATAATCAATGACAATATGTCAGTCTTTGCATGGAACCAACGCATGATAGACTAGTAATTAATTGTTGAGATTTAAATCATTTGCCTCATCTAATATTGGAACCTCCTAATACTATCAGCTGCAAATATAGGATTAGTTTCGACAATGGGAACGATAAAGAACTTCGTGAAATTCATAAAGAATTCACCAACTTCATTGATTCATTCACCATAACGTCATGTTCCAACCCAATCATTTTGTAATTTAAATTTTCTATACCCTAGTTGTAATAATGACTGCATTAGGGCTTATAGTCCAGCTACAAATATGATAAAAAATTAGAAGGTGCACTGCAAAATTTAATTGAAAAAACGGGATTAAAATTAGTTTGGACTACATCTTTTATCTCCACTTTAGTCTTTAACAATGAATAACTATTTTTCACAACAAGGTCAATTGAAGACATTTTTCCTTTTGGACGGAGTATTTTTTAATGAAAAAGTAGGCTATTTATTTACTCGTCCTTGCAGCGTTGCCGCAAATAATACGAAACCAAAGACAAACATGATTTTAAACTAAAGCGTATGTCTATCTGAAAATGAATTTAACATGGAAACAATGTAGATATTTTTACGACATCGACCGGCCGACACACACCAAATTGTGATATAAAAATGGTTTACGTTACCTTTTTGCGTCAAACGATCTGTGTGTAGTTACGCATCGTTTGGCGCAAAATAACGTAACCATTTTTATATTGCAATTAACGATCCAGACACGATTCCCACCATGACAACCAAATTGTGATTTATAAAAGGTGAATATGGGTGAACGACGAACATTGAATGATTCGACAGCCTTTTGTCACTAAGATCACTTGGTTATTTAGCCATAACCCACAAAATCCCAATGATCGCCAAACAAACAAAACCGACCGACTTTCAATAAAATTAGTTCTTGTAGAACTTAATACTTATTTAATTTGTATTCGATTAAGTAACTTAATCGAATACAAATTAAATTGGCGATAAATTGCATAAATACGAGGTAAAACTAGTAGAAATATAGCCAACATCAAACAACAATCAACAAAACAAAAGATAGTGATATGCATGATTTGAAACACAACTCATTGAATGCGTCACTGCGTGCGTATTCACTAGGCATGCGCGGAATGCATCTTTGTAGTTCGTGAGTTTGCCGCGTGTAGCAGCGTTATCGGGTCAGTGGCCGTAGGTAACGGTATGGTGACGTCATCACATTATCGCCTTGTAGTACTTGTTCGCTGTTTGAACTAGAACTTGAAGTGTGTGATAGTGTAGTGTGGTATTTCTGTCAAAGTAAATGATATTTTACTTCAATAATTTCGTTGGCTCCGTGGTTTTAGTTGAGTGACTTATTATTGTGATGTATTACTTAGGCCCTAATTATTGCTTATCCTGAGTGTATTCACAAGGGAAACTATATGACAGTTTTATTTAATTGAATCAGTATACATTACATTTTCTTATCTATAATTGTTATCATCACAACTGTATAAAGTAAAATTTTATAATTGTTATTTCTATTTCTAACCGTTATGTGGTACTGTAACAAATTGATTTTTAATTTAATTGATTGATTTCTCTTTAAATTGTTTAAAGTGAATATTAAAAGTACTTTTAATCGTTTAGTTTTCTTAGAGAAGGTTAAAATAACTATATTTTAAATTTTTATCAAAACTGAATCCTTTATAATTGTATGCCACTTTTCTTGGCCAGCTGCACTTTTTGTTTTATGTCCTAATAAGCCAAAACAACTTTGTTTGGTTTTAAAATTAACTTTAGTATGTCCGCAAACAAATAACTTTGATCAAAATTCTCATTATGATTATATTTATATAAAACACGTAAGTAGGTAAACCAACATCTATTCACATTACAGTCCAGCCTGACAAACTAATCGTACAGAAAGAGTAGTTCGGGGGAGGGGGTGGCTTTTACAAGTTTAAGTTCCATTGTTCCATTAAATTGAACAAGCGACAACGACAACATTACATTGCAATACTATTGTAAAATTACAGTAAAATAAATAGGTAGACAATGCTGTGAGCTCATACATATAGCTTATCCAATAGCTGAATTTTTAAATTACTGTAGATATATTAGAAAAATGCATTTTTGTGTCCTAAATCTGTATCTGCACTGTAATTTTGTGGTCCAATTACATGTTTAATAAACGGTATCAGGTATCTGACTCATACTTTCTCTCATTAGCTTGTCAACAGCTTTTATCATGGTTAAGCATGGGGAGAACTAGGCCTATGATACTTTACTGGGAAATCACAAAACTTGCAATAACTTTTGAACCGTAATTTTTACAGCAATGGGTGTCGCACTATTTTGTTTATAATTATAAGTACCATAACATACTTACTTTAATCAAAGCCGCTTTTTCTCAAAAATTCAAATTTCAGTTATTTTATGGGAAAATAATGCTTACAGAAGTGGGAGTTATACCATTTTGTTAAGAATTTAAAGGGCTATAACATACTAAAAAACTATCAAAATCATTTGGCCATTTCCGAGAAAATTCTATTTTTCTGCTAATTTATGCTAGGGTTTGTATGGGAAAATCATCATTAAAAATCCAAATTTCAAAAATTTGTAAAAACTGGAGATACCATGGATTAGTATGGGAGTTATACCATTTTGTTAAGAATTTAAAGGGCTATAACATACTAAAAAACTATCAAAATCATTTGGCCATTTCCGAGAAAATTCTATTTTTCTGCTAATTTATGCTAGGGTTTGTATGGAAAAATCATCATTAAAAATCCAAATTTCAAAAATTTTTTAAAACTGGAGATACCATGGATTAGTACCTACATACCAAATTTAATCAAAATCGGACCACAGGCATGGTCTGTAGCTTTGTACACATCCACACTCACAGACATCACTTCAAAACCATTTTTTTTGGGTTTATAGGGTTTATGGGTTTACCAAAATACGGATATATCACCTCAAAACTCAAACTCGAAAATTTTGACAAAAACAATAATTTTTCTATATAGGCTACTATGGTATAGAGGGCGAAAAAAAGTTTCCAACTAGTATGACCAGTTTAACTTTACACCAAGTACTACAAGAATGGATTAAAACAGTGCACAATTAGACCAAGCCAGGGTGTGAAGATTCAAATTACAGTGGAACCTTGATAATTCTGATGCAAAAAATCTGGACTGTAAATAATCTGGATTTGTACCTATAGCAAGAATTAAAATGTTGTGCGTCTTTTTAAACAAATTAAGAACTTAGCTCTAAAAAAAGACACCACTGCAGTTCTTTCTGTACCTATAGAAAATATACAATAATTGTAAAAAGTTTCTTACTCAAATAGTACCCTTTTCAAGGTAATTTTGATCATCTGGAAAATTTGATGATCCTGATAGGGACCAGTTCCACTTAATCCGGATTTTTGACTGTAGGTATAAGTAACAGAAAAACATTAAAAATATATAATTAGGTAGAAATTGGCATATTTGAATTGAAATTTAAAGTATAATGAGAGCATTTTACTTTAAATACTTTTACTTTACTTTTCTATGAAATGGCAACCATACAAAGTAGGTATTTTTAATCCAAGTATGAATGGAGATGAGTGTAGGATGAGTGGTGCGATCTAAATAATGACCGAGAAATTCAATTTAAAATATATAATAAACAAATAGTGAATTTTGATTTGATTCAACCCTTTATTCTTTCCAAATATCATGGAATTTATGTTAGGAAATCTTATAAAAAAATTATTAAAAATATTTTAAACCCTGTCTTCAATTTAAAATGTATTCATGTTTCAAAATTCACTTATTGTTTGTTTGACTAACCCAATAATTTTATTTTAGGCTAGACTTCAGCAAAATCAATTCCTATGAACTAACCATACTGAAAACAAAATGTGAAACATTGAAATGCATTATGTCTGTAGCGCATCGTGATTGAGAATGAACACGTAGAAGAACATTTGCTTGCCTGGTGCATTGTGGTGAATGTTTTAGATGTACATAACAGTGTAAAGTTTAGCGAAGTCGCAGCATGAGACATGGGTGCAGACCCGATGGCGGTGGTGTGTTGGAGTGTGTGTGCCTTAGTGCTCTCGTGTCACGGGTTTGTGTTGTTAGCTGCGGCAGGAGGTTCACAGTTGTTTGAGCCGACAACAGTTCTCAACTACGACTATGAGTCAACTCTGCTGCTCAACGAACCCCAGCCTAGGACGGGGAAGGATGTTGGATACCAAGTGTCTGGGAAGCTCAAGGTGGAATGTGTCTGGCAGTTGGGGTCTTCTAGCAACAAACTGCTCAAGGTTACGGTGAGTTGACTATGATCAGTTTGAAAATGTTTAATGTTTTAATTATTAATGTCTATTGATAGAAGGGAGACACGTCAATCCGAGATTTTAACCTAGTGTGAAGCCAGTGTGATCCAGATACATGGATAAATACGGTAAGCAAGGAAAGATCTTTTAATGATCAGCACCCCCATGTGGGGGTAAAGGTCGTCCTTTAAAGCTCTAAAGCACTTGCCCCAAAGAGATTAAGAGTGGCCAAGGTAATTATATTGATAGGATTTGTCTATTAATGAGAAGGTGTGAAATCCTTTTGTAGTAATTATATTGACAAAACCGCTATACTTGAAATAATCCTTGGGTGAATCTCATGCAAAAATGTTCCAAAACTTTTGTTGTTCTTTGTATTCTTTAGTATTTTTGTATTCTTTCATAAACATAATAAGCCCGAGTAGACACATATTTTCATGCAAAAACCTCTCTAGTCCAAGGAATATATAAAGCTAGTGGTCACTGATAAAACAACAATCAAAGTTTTGTTGTTGTCACTAGAAACATTTTGCATGTGTTGATTGATGACTCTAACTCTAACTATTTATTTGCATACACCTTTAAAAAATATATGTGGAATTGAATTTGTAAGTTTAGCTCAATTAAAGTAGTTAACGAGGAAATTCCCAGAAAAAATATACATGTTGTACTATAGTAGCTAACCTAATTTAAAAACAAATTATCAAAATGAAAGTTTTCTTCTTGTTTTTTTGCAGCTGGAAAAGCCAAAATTATCAATAAAATCCAGAAAAGCCCCATCCCCAGAGGGGTTTGTCTTCCACTCATCTAAACTAGAGGAGCTCAAGAATAGTCCCTTCCTTGTTCACTGGAACAATGGACATGTTAAGGCAGTCTATGTCAATCAAAACGAACCAGTTTCCATGGTCAACCTGAAGAAAGGGATTGCCAGTTTTTTCCAGGTTGGTGTGTGAATAACAAATGTTTATAATTAAAATAATTCTTTATATTATTTTTGTTACTACATTAGCCACAAATTTCTTTTAAGCATTTTTTTTAGCTGAAAAGGGTTTTAAAGGGTATCTGAAAAATAATATTCTAAAATTAAATATGGTGGAAGAATTTGTTGATATCATCAGAACAACCTTCTCAGTACCGTAGCTAGAAACACAAACCTACCTTTGCATTTGGTTTACTAAAACCTTGTAATTAATTAATAAGTAATTGTATTAATTTTACATTAACACTTGTTTTCTGTGTCACAGTTCCAGTTGGTAGATCAGGAAGTGAGAGAGACAGATGCCTCAGGACTTTGCACTGTCCAGTATACTAGTCTTGATCGTAACATGATAGAAAAGGACAAAACCAACTGTGAGATGGAACCGCCATTGCCATTCATCCGCCATCCAGAAGAGGTAACCTGTCGCTTTTAATGTATATTTAATTTCTTTCTTTGCTAAATTCAATCTTTTAGGTGCTGACTTATGTGTAGAATGTAGAAAAAGAAGAAGATTCAGATCTTTGGGGTTTCAAACACAAGAGTTCCTTTTAAACGGTAGGTTATTCTTTTAATGTATTTTCAAATAACTAACGCTCACGCTGACTTTAGACTACTGATTATACTCTCAGTGCCTGATTTGTCAATTATACTTGGAATAAATTAATCTAATACCTTAGCATATATGTAGATCTTTATTAAAACTTGAAGAATTCTTAAGTCAACTTACTTATTGCCATACTAGAAGTACTTTTTAACAGTAAGATGGGTGATCTGACAAGTAAAACATTATCTTAGATGTGGAGTGCTGCTGTTTCTTCAAAACTTACTTATTGCCATACTAGATGTACTTTTTAACAGTAAGATGGGTGATCTGACAAGTAAAACATTATCTTAGATGTGGAGTGCTGCTGTTTCTTCAAAAAGGAGAAGTGTGATATTCTTGACTGAGGATTTAGATGCGATCAAAAGCATTGAGTCAGAGGAGAAACTTGAGTTGCACATCCCACTCAGAGGGGAAGCTGGCGGATCTCTTAGCTCCCATCAGCAGCTGAAACTGACGGGTAATATATAATATTTAACTTAATTACCTGCCAGATTATCAAAATGCTAACAAACAATTAATCATTTAAGTTCAGATCATTTTTGATAGCCAACATGATATACATTTTTGTTAAGATGATTCTGACAAGTCTGTGCAAACATAACTCCTTATTTCCTGTTTACCTTAACCTTTCTTTTATTACCTACACTCACAGGGGCGGACTGGGTACTCTATTAGGGCGTAAACCTTGACCAGCCCGAAGGCGCCAACCGGGGGGTCTGGGGGGTAAGGAATACCCCCCTGTATAGAGGGGGGTCCGGGGGCCCTCCCCCGGGAAATTGTTTAAAATTTATACCTGTAAACTCGCATTTTTGGGCAATCCAGAGGCATTAACAGTGGAAAATCAGAAATCTGATAACTGACACTATTGGTCAATGTTTGGTTTACAAAATTTAGACTATTTACCCACACGACTTGGTGCTATTCTGACAGTAAATATCCTAACAAAAATAAAAATACAGATTTTCTTAGGTTCTTTCGTATTATATATGTGTATTTTCACTATTTTCCCTTGCATGACTTGGCGGATGCATGCATACAATATAAATCATTTGCTTCCTGTTTACAACCTGAACTTGCAACTGTTGTATTTTTTGGCACTGTAAATAACAGAAATTTTAGATTTCTATGAAATTATTTTAACACAAACAATATGCTTTCACTGTGAACAAAACCAATTTATTTACTTAAACTTTTTTAGCATTACATTAAGTGAAAACTGTAACCCTAAAGTAGGCCTACAAAACCTATTTCTACAAACGAAATGGAAGCCATAGCCTAGAGAGAACTACGAAGGTATTTTGGGCTGGCTATCTGTAAGTAAAATAGGAAAGTTGACCAAATTAGTGCCATAGTGCATATTGAAATCATTAATTAATTAATAGGTGGTAGCCACATATTAAAATACTGTTTACTGTTTAACCTTTACTGTGTAGGCCTAATGGTTAAGTTAACAAATACACTGTCACTAAATCTAATTTAAATTTTGTAAAAGTAGTGGTTCTACAATACTCCTTTCGTTCATGTTTTCTGTGTAGGTAAAGAATATAAAAATAAATTGAAGCTTTCGACACAGAGACACTAATCAGACACTAAAGAGAGACACATTTTTATTGACAGCTCACACTCTTTATTTATTTATTACATGCACGGCAAACGCCATTTTACAATTAAGAGAGTTGAGTTGACATTGATAAAAATTAAATGTGACTTAATTAAAGTGAAATAGTTATAGTGTGAGCAATAATTAAATATTATAACAAATATGAATAATATTAAATTATCTTCACTAGTTGTTTACCACAGACGACATCGTGACACCGACCGATGTCTGATGCAGTCGCAGTCACGAATACTAGAAAAATACCGGTATGGATCACAAACATAAACAAATGACGTTGTTGGCCCGAATCCTATACTAAGCATTGAACATATGATTTGGCAGTTCCATTTAAGCAATGTTAAATAATGTTTATTTTCGGGCCAAAAACGTCATTTGTTTATGTTTATGATCCATACCGGTATTTTTCTAGTACTCGTGGTCGCAGTGTAGTTTTTTTTCGGGTTCGGCGTAAAATGACGCGGGAAGAGGACAGCTGTTTTTAAGTAGCTCAGACCACAGAGTGAAGTGCCTTCCACTCGGAGTAGGCCTACACGTACGAGAGAGTAGAGCTGCTATGCTTTGCTCTCGCTTGTCGACAGTGTCTATTCAGGTCTCACACCCGACTTGATGTTTTGCTATTCACTGCTGAAACTTTTACTCTAAGTTTTTCTCTTACTTTCTAAAAACACATCTCGTCTCATTTTTAAAACATTTTTATGAATTTTTCCTTTAACGAGGGCGCAAATATTAGAATGTTGAAAAGGCGTATCGGCCCACCGGCCGGTGGGCCGGCGGGCCAGTCCGCCCCTGTACACTCATAAGTTTTGTTCGGGAACAAGTTTTTGGGACTAAAACAAATCTCTAGATGAATTAAAATAATGAACATCTCATTTCTAAATACAGCCACTGGGTACATATAAGACACACGAGGCATCACAATCACACAGATGTACTGTTTATACCTTCATTTCTGTAATCAATGCGGAGACTTGTTGGTTTGTGAGTTTAAATTTCAGTTTTGAATTTATGGATTTAATTTGGGATTCCAATAAACCATACAGATTAAGCCATATCAATGATAAGGACTAAAAGATACACCAAACATAAACTCAACAGTGGAGTAAATTGTTGTTTAAATTATTTACAGAATGTCCTCATGATTTCACAACAATTTGACAAATACCCCCGCCGCAGCAAACCTGCCGACTAAGCAAATTTCCATTTGTCTGAATTGATTTTCAGTTAAAAATATATTTTAATAACATTAGGTTTAACGAGTACCTAGGTTTGCTGCTACAAGGAAACTAATAAAGTGTGTGTTTTGAGTAAAATATTGATAGCTTAGTACAAAATACCCCCGCCGCAGCAAACCTGCCGACTAAGCGAATTTCCATTTGTCTGAATTGATTTTCAGTTAAATATATTTTAATAACATTAGGTTTAACGAGTACCTAGGTTTGCTGCTACAAGGAAACTAATAAAGTGGGTTTTTGAGTAAAATATTGATAGCTTAGTACAAAATAAATAAATTTGCCAAGTTTGATCAAAATATATCCATAAACAAGCAAACTACAACATTTTACAATATTCTCCATAAGAATAACATGGGAATTTTAAATTTACAATTTTTTTAATTTTCTCCGTTACTAATAATCGAACAAAAATACTTTTATATACTAAATTATTTGTTTTTTTAAGGTCTTTAAAAAGGTCTAAAGAGAAATTGGGAAATTTTGTGTTTTGAGGGTCAAAAGTGAGAAAAACCAATTTTTACCCCATAAAACCCCCCGTAAAGCCCCGTTCCCATGGTCTGATCGTGCTGGTTCGCGAACTCATTCAAGTTTATCCCGCTTTACACCTTTAAACCAAATTTCATCAAAATTGGACAAAAATTACTCAAGTTATCGCGTTCACGGACGTATATATATAAAAGTCTATATATATATATATATATATATACATATATAAAAATTTGAACGAATGGTGTTTTTGGCTCCTGGGGACATCAAAATGAAAAAGTAAATCGGTCCCGGGTCTAGGTCTTACCGTGCCACCTACGGTAGCTACTTCCCAATAGGGAAATTCGCTAATAAATAAATTTGCCAACTTTGATCAAAATATATCCATAAACAAGCAAACTACAACATTTGACAATATTCTCCATAAGAATAACATGGGAATTTTAATTTACAATTTTTTAAATTTTCTCTGTTACTAATAATTGAACAAAAATACTTTTATATACTAAATTATTTGTTTTTTTAAGCTCTTTAAAAAGGTCTAAAGAGAAATCGGGAAATTTCGTGTTTTGAGGGTCAAAAGTGAGAAAAACCAATTTTTACCCCATAAAACCCCCCGTAAAGCCCCGTTCCCATGGTCCGATCGTGCTGGTTCGCGAACTCATTCAAGTTTATCCCGCTTTACACCTTTAAACCAAATTTCATCAAAATCGGACAAAAATTACTCAAGTTATCGCGTTCACGGACGTATATATATATATATATATATATATTTACCCAGAACACGATAGGCGCTCGTTTTAGCATCCAGCGCTCAATGCGAGCTCTCTGAGGAGCTCCTACGAGAGAGCTCCTAATGGGAATTCTAGAGCACAATGCGAGCTCCCTCTTCTCTTCCCCACTTCACCTCTCTGTGGACCTCTCCCATTAGGAGCTCGCCGTCATTTTAGCTTTGAATAAACAGGTTTGTAGGATTGGGAATTTCCCCAAACTTCTTATATCCCTTTTACCCAGAACACGCTATGTGCCCTTATTAGCATCAAGCACCCAATGCGAACTCTCTAAGGAGCTCCTACGAGAGAGCTCCTAATGGGAATTCTAGAGCACATTGCGTGCTCCTTCAATACATGGTTTACTAGGATTCGGAATATCTCCAACTGTCTTCAATTCCGCGCTCTCTCTCGCTCGCACATTCCTTCTCTCTCTGTCTCACTTCCCCACCGACCACGTGATCCACACTGCTACACTGCTACGTTACACTACAACTGCTTGGGCAATGAATGCAAGATAACATTAGCATATGTGTTGCGCGATAATGTGGTATGGGAACATATTATATAATGTGGACGAGTACTCGAATTAATATAGGCGAAATTAATATGTTTCATGAACATAATAAGTGCTCGGGTTATTTTAAGTAAGTTAATTGATTTGAGTTTGGTTAAGTCATACATACTTCAATATTTAAAATAACAGCTTCATAATTCTAAAAATTAGATAAACATTGTCGTACAGCAATAAATCATATAATGAACAAAACGGCTCTTGTTAACTTCTGCTAGTCATCATAGGCTACCATTAACTCCCTAAAAACAATGGTGTCGTTAAAATTGGAAATTTTTGTGCCGTTTTCAAGGTATCTTTAAGTGTAATAAAAAGGAGTAAACTCAAAAGTTTTAAAAATCAATTAGTCATGCAACATGTTTAATGACACTGCCTTAACTCCCCGATCACAGTACTGTCATACAAATTTTAAATGTGTTGTGTGGGTGTGACATAAAGCAGTAGACTCAAAAGTTGTAAATATCAGTTAGTCGTCCGACATGTTGAAAAACACTACCTTAACGCTCTGAAAACAACTGTAATCAAAATGGAAAAGTGTTAAGTCGTTGTCAGGATATCTGTAAGTGTGATATAAAAGAGTGGACTCAAAAGTTTTAGAAATAAATTAGTCATGCGACATGTTGAATTACACTCCTTTACCCCCTGAAATCAGTTTTTCTATCCAAATTCAAATAAGTTGTTAATTTTTCAAGATATCTGTAAGTGTGATATAAAGCCGTAGACACAAAAGTTGTAAAAGGTATGTTAGTCATGTGATATGTTGAATAACACTTC